TCTGGGAATGACCTGCTGTGTTGATCATCAAGTAGCATGGGCAGGCCTGGAGCTGTTCAATGACAAAAAAAGGCTTGCGGCGAGGGAAGTCGAGGCCTGGCCCCCTCCCTCATTCATCGCCCCTACCATCTCATGCTCCTCCCCCCCCCCCCTCTCCTCACCAACGACAGGTTTTTGTCAGGGTGGAAGTGGCCCACGCCCATCCTGCTGCGCCCCATCGAGCGCGACGTGTCGCTGGGCATGCCTGTGTGGGACCCGCGCGAGAACCCTCGCGACCGCTCGCACCTCATGCCCATCATCACCCCCGCCTACCCCGCCATGAACTCCAGCTACAACGTGTCGGAGTGCACGCTGGGGGCCATGGTCGACGAGTTCGCGCGCGGCGACGCGGTGTGCGACGAGATCCTGGCGGGCGGCGCCGGCGGCGTGACGGACTGGGCGCGCCTGAACGAGCCCTTCCCCTTTTTCACCGCGTTCAAGCACTACCTCCAGGCACGGCCGAGAGGCTCGGCTGTGGTTTGGGTGGGGAATGGGGTGTTGATCGAGGGCTGAAGGATGGACGGAGTGACATCCTGCAGCTGAGTGTGCACATGTGGCTGGAAGGGGCGCCAGAGTCAGAGACAGCACAGAATCATGCGCCCTCTCACCCCCCCTCCTCCTGACAAAGGTGGACATTGTGGCGGCCAGCGAGGCGGACTTTGAGGCGTGGGAGGGTTGGGTCACCTCCCGCCTCCGGCTCCTCATCCGCTCCGCCGGCAGCATCGTGGAGGTGCGGCCGTGGCCCAAGCCCCTCCGCCCGCCCGCCGACCCCCTGGCCTGCTCCTACTTCCTGGGGCTGTCCAAGAAGCGGGCGGTGGCGCTGACGGGTGCGTACGCGCCGCACGCCCCCGCCCCCGCCGCGCGCGTCGACCTCACCCAGCCTGTCAACGACTTTGCGCATCGGGTCAAGGACTGGGCGGAGCGCCGGCCGGGCATGGAGCTGGCGGTGAGGCACGTCCTGCAGAAGCAGCTGCCGGACTGGGTGAGGGCGGCGGGGCCGGGCGGCGCAAGTGGTTTGGCGGCTGGGCAGGGCGCCGAGGAGGCCATGCAGGACGCCGAGGGGGCCATGCAGGGCGCCTCGGCGGCGCCCACGCCGGCCAACAGCAGGACCGCGGTGGACGCGTCAAAGGGTTGTCCTGCGCAGGCGGCCAGCGGCGCAGGGGAGGAGCTGGAGAGCCGGCCCGCGCATGCTCCAGCGCCTCAGAATGGTGAGGGGCTACCGCCGATGGCGCCACCGCGCAGGGCGCCAGACGGGTCCGTGCGCGTCCCGGAGCCTGCCCCCAAGCGCAGCCGGACAGAAGAGACGGGGGGGTCGGCGCCGAGCAACGCGCCGCGGCGCGCGGCCTCCGACCTCAGCGTCGTGGACCTCGGGGCGGCGGCTGGGAAGGCCGACAACGTCTGCTCCACCACCGAGGCCTCCTCCATGGTGGGTTTTTGGATGGGGCGGTGTGGTAGTGGAGGGTCGTGTATGTTGGTGCATTGGGAATGACGAGACCAGCTGCACAGATCATGCAATGTCAAATGTTTGAGTCTGTGAGTTTGCACGACTGCACTGCAGCTACTATGCACACACGCACGGAGCCTCGGTTCCGTGCTGCCATTTCCAGCGTTGCGTCTTGCAGAACTCGCATGCCTTGTCCCCCCCCGAGTCTCCGCGGCATCATCACCGCCTCTACCCAGCCCGGGACTCGGCTCATCCCCGCCAGACACTCCCTGTGGCCACACAGGACGTTGCATCCATGCAGACCCTGGGCGATGCTGCAGACGCCGAGGCCGCGAAAGCAGAGGCCGGACTGCGCGGAGTGGGCGAGCTGGCGGAGTGGGCCGTTCTGGACTCCGAGGGGGCCACCGGGAAGCCGACACCCCCACGGCCAGGCGTCACCGTTCGGTAGGGGCGGGGCGGGGGAGTAGGTGCGGTGGCTTGTGCGCTCTGGTGTACAACAACAGGCAGGACGGGTCGGGGAGACCGCATCACAGTCCACCTGCACCAAACCTCCGCCCCCAGGCTGGCCTCTTGAAAGCTTGTCGGCAGGCAAGGGGCAGGCGCCCATCGCAGCGGCGGGTCCTGCGTGCGCGACAAGTTGAGCACCGCAAGGTAGGTCTCGGGACCTAGCCCCTCTCCGTGCTTGTGTGGTCGCGTTCATGAACGAGGACAGTCAGAGCGCTGCATGGCAGCAAGTTCGACAGCCTTGTGCGGAACTCTCCGGCCATGGGTACAGGAACCATATGTAATATACTTGGGAACTCATTCCAGTAGATTTTGAGTGAGGGAATGAGGGTCTGGCCGGCTGGGGTCAAGGTCAGTGCATGTCAATGCTTGCGTACAGGGCCTGTGCGTGCTCGTTTGAGACCAAGGCATCACATTCAAGCAGCCTCGCTCAGGAGCGATGGGTGGCATTCGCTTACAGGCATCACAGCGCTGTGGGGGACAAGGTTTGCATGCATGACAAGAAAGATCATCGGTAGGTTCATCAGATGTAGCAGAGGGACACGTTTGAATTCAGGGGTGACACCATGCTGAGCCAGACATGCAAAAGGCGGGATCCAAGGAGCGAGGGCATCCTCGGGGAAAATTGATCGTGCAGTAGGAAGGGCAATTGTCTACACCAACCCTCCTAACTACGGCAAAGGATGCCAGGTACTGGTAGCTGGGACCCCCAAATCTCCAGCAAGAGCTCTCACAGGTCGTACTGCTGGATGAGGTGCAGGGCCACGCCGTTGGTCCAGCCAAAGCCGGTGACGACGGCGTACTCGCCGCCGCCCCCCGGCCGGCCGACGAGCGTGGAGTTGAACTTCTCGAAATTGGCCCCCGTCTCCTCCCAGGTACGCAGCGCCTGGTTGACGTAGGTCTCGGCGATGGTCTGGGCCAGGGCCTCGGCCTCGGCGCCGCCCGCGTTGCGGAAGCCCTGCACCAGCAGCCCCTGGATGGGGGGCCAGACGTTGGGGTAGTCCCACTGCTGCCCAGACTCCACCAGGGAGGCGGGCACACCGCCCTCCATCAGCAGGCCCGAGGCGTTGAAGGCGGCCACGGCCGCGGCGGCCTGGACGCTGCCGGCCTCCGCCACGCCGGCGTACAACGGGAACCAGTTGCTGGGGAAGACGACAGCGTTGGGCGCGACCGACACGGGGCCGGCAAGCCCATCCCCGTCCTCGGCGTCGATGATGAGGTCGTACCACTGCCCCGCCGCCGGGTCCCAGGAGAGGGCGTCCAGCGCCTCGCGCCGCGCCTCGGCGGCGGCGTCAAAGCGGTCGGCGACGTCGGCGCAGCCCAGCGTATCGGCAAAGGTCGCGATGTTGCGCTCCATCTGGTACAGGAAGGCGTTGAGGTCGGCCGGCAGGACACGCGTGGTGCGGATGGTGGACAGGTCGGTGCTGTTCTCCGCCAGCCAGCGCGTGGAGTAGTCCCAGCCGGACTCTGCGCCGGAGGCCAGGTCGCGGTACAGCTGCCGCGTGGCTGCCGTGGGGGCGGCGGGGTCAAACCCGGCCTTCCTTGCCGTCTCCTGATCCTCCCTGGGCGTGAAATGCGAAGAAGATTGTTGTGATGGATCCCTGATGCCTGGAAGAAGGAGTCGCATCCGGCCTCAGGGACCAGGGCCACGCTCGCTTGCACCTACACGTCAACCACTCACCCAACCCCACCCCAAATCACACAGACACACACCTGAAGGACTCGGGTCTCGGAGTATCCCAGTCGGCATGGTAGCGGCTCAGATTGTAGGTGGTGGACCCGTCGGGGCTCAGCACCTCCACCTGCTTGGGCGCGCTGGTCCAGTAGGCGTGCTCTGCTAGCAGGGCTGGGAGGGCCCTCTCCAGCACGCTCTCGTCCCCGCTGGCCTCATAGACAATGCGGACCATCTCGCTGAACAGCGGGGGTTGGCTGTTGTGTATTGTGGGGGTGGTAATTGGAGAGAGGGGTGATTGGATGGGCGGAGAGGGATGTAAAGGTGCAAGACACACTTCCTTGAGGGGCAAGCAGATGAATGAATCCTGACCGGCAGCAGGGGCATCGACCACACCGCCAGCATGCACCTCCACACCTGCGGTTGATGTAGTATGTCCTGATGCCGTTGGGTATGTGACCGTACGTCTGCGAGACAGCGGGCAGGTGGGAGACTTGTGAAGCATTGTACGTCCGAATGTGTCAATGCTACAGGGCATGCCCCAAGAGGGACATGCAGTGCTCTAAGGACCGACATCGAGTGACGCCCACTTCCCTGGCGCTTTTCAAGAAGCGCCTTGTGATGAAAGGAATCGTGTCGAGATCAAGCCATGCGCCCACCAGCCACAGCGCACAGCGAAGCGACCCAGAGCGCAGCCTACCGCCGAGCATGCGCACCTGGACGAGGTAGGCAAAGTTGTCCAGGATGTTCTCGGCCAGGGTGGTCAGATTGCTGGCCAGGAGGCCCTGGATGACGAAGAAGCTGTCCCAGTAGTACACCTCCCGGAAGCGGGCGCCGGGGACGACAAAGGGGTTGGGAACGGGGAGCATCGTGTAGAGCTGAGTGTCCATCGACACATTGGGCGCGACCTGGCGGGTCAGCAGGTTCCAGGCCTCGTACAGGGAATCGGCCCAGCGCTTCAGGTTGGGGTCCTCGATGGTCTGTGCAAGGAGGGAAAGCGGGGGGTGTTGAGGAAAAGGGAGGTGAGAGATGCGGTGGTTTCACGGTCACAAGCTTTGTAATCACGAGTTCCCTGGCCACGCAACATGCCACCTTGGGGCACGCATGAATCAGCACAGATGTTCCCTGCCTGCTTCTGCGATATGCATTCTAGTTGCACTCCAGGAAACTATGAAGCCCTCCATCCCTGCAGCCTCATATACGGACGCACCTCAAACCACTCAGGAGGGTTGGGCCCGACGAGGCCCGTCACATTGGCGAGGTCAGTGCCGGGCTCGGTCAACCAGGTGGCCACAAACTCTTGCAGCGTCTCGTTGATCGTGGCATTGGTCTGGAAGGCCTCGATGTCGGTGAGAGGGTCGGGCAGGCCCAGCTCAGCGTATGCCGCATACACCTCCGAGGGTGGGGCGGTGAGCGGCATGTCCCTGCAACAGTCATGGATATGCGTGGGAATTCAGCCTGAGGGTGCTGCAGTGCTGGCCTCGTTCTTCGGATCGGTGCTCCAGGGGTTATTGTGTATGGGATTGAGGGGGGGCTCCACAGCTTCTGCTGTACTTCGTTCAAAAGATCTTCCCGAAGGGTACTCACACGATGGATTTAGAATCCGGGAACACGAGCGCCTCATCCACGCCCGCCACCAGGGTGTTGAGGAGCAGCGGGTTGGTGATGCCATCGTTACCCACCACCCCAGTGGTGTCGGGTGTGAGGGCGACGCAAGCGTCTCCCTGCGCCATCCCTGTGCGGCGGGTCGGTGTCAGATGTGGACATCAGCTGGGTTCAGCGAGTGTGTGAGCCCTGTAAATCTAAAGATCAATGCCTAGCACTGCCCTGGGCACCGTACCTGGGCCGGGCAGCGTCGCCAGACAAGCGATGGCGGAGAAGAGGATCATGGACCGCATGACGGCAGGTCCCCGAGGCGCGACTTACACCTCGACAGGGTTGTTAGGAGGCTGTACCACAGTTATCTCACCGCTCGTTACAATTCACTCTTGGGTTTGGCCCAATGTGTCACAAGATATGTCGGTCCTCGCATCAGGAAGGCTGGGTTCCAGGTAGCAGCACAGGCAATTTCCGGGGGTTCTTTAAGCTGACGTAGGATTAAGCCGCGGCCCCTTGGGAGCGCTTGTCCTCGAAACAGGGTGGTATTGTCACCAGGATGAGAAGCAGCCAAGCAGCCACTTGTGGCATTGCTTGCAACGCCGGCTCAATGCCGAAACGGACCTGCCATGGACGGATCGCATGGTTGCACCGCACCAGCGACGGCGAATGCCCTCGAGTCATGCCTCTCAGATCAGAGGCATGGACATGCTTGCAACAATGGGAATTTTGGATTGTGTCGATGCGCAGTGGACATGCGGGACCCGATTCCTGCCTGAGACAGCTGTGGATCTGCTCGTGCCTCGGTGAGCCATGCCTCCTAGCGCCGGGGTCCTGCGCTGCGCAGCTTGGGGTAGCTCCCACCCTCCTCCTCGGAGTCGGACCCCGGATCGCCGTACCGCCACAGCCCCACCCGGCTCCGGCGGGCCTGGTCCTGAGCGGCGCGCACCTCCTCCAGCGCTGGGGAAGACGAGCCTCGTCCCTGCGATGGAGAGTCGTGCGTATCCAGTATGTGTGCCCTGTGGGCTCGCCGGGCGCTGTATCACGTACGTCACCTCCCGACACACCTTGGGGCCCACGTACGATCTGGTCCAGCCTCGCGCTACGCGCACTCCCCACCCCACTCCCCCATCACCCCAAAACCCTCACCTTGGGGGCAGCCAGGCGCGCCAGGCCCGCCGCCACCAGCTTGGCGTTCACGCTGGACTCGCCCTCGGCCCCCGAGCGCAGAGTCAGGTGCAGCTTCACCGCCGCCTGCGCGGCCCACTGCTTGCCGGCGGCCTGCACTCGCTCCCTGCTCTCCACGACTGCAGACAGCTTGGCGCCCGACCCCACCAGCTCCGCCAGCATGGAGGCCGCGTCCACGCCATACTCGTCATCCAGCCCGGGAGCCTTAGGAGGGGGTTGGGGGTTGCAGGACGAATTCGGTGAAGCGGGTACGAGGTTGCTGGGCGCGACACGTGGCCAAGAGCAGTGAGAATAGATTGGAGACGAATGCTGTGCATCGGCAGTCATGCCACCCACTCCGACGTGAGAGGCCAGGGGTGCACACCTCCCCTGCCCGCTGCGTCCGAGTCAGCGCACGATGGGCTCCGGCACCACGCTCTCTGACGAGGGGGTTCCGACGCTCGCCCCTTCCTGCCACCGCCCTCCGACCAACACGCAACCAAGCCACCCACCTTGACGAATGCCAGGGTGGCCGGCGTGGCCTGCGGAGCCACCGCGGCGAGCGCGGCGTCCATGGGCCGCACCGCCGCTCCCTTGGCGCGCTGGCGGTTGCCAAAATCGACGAAGTAGACGTCGTACTCCGGTGCGGTGGGATCGGCGGCGTGCACCCGCTCCACGCTGGCGCGGTACCACTGCCCGTCCTCGTACCGCGCCACGCACTTGTCCCCGGCGCGCAGCAGGGCCTGTTGTTATGTGTGTGCGTGGGAGGGGGGGGAGGGGGGTCTGGGTGGGGGGTGTGGGGGGGAGGGTGGACGACGAGGTGGTGAGGATGGTTTCCCGACTCTTCCTGCTCTCCGGCGCTGCTGCCCTGGTCGACCATGCGCGCACCGTCTGGGGAGGCGTGGCGCCGAGGTCCAGCGCCGCCAGCTCGTCGGCAATCCAGGTCACACGCGGCTCGGCCGCGTTCTGGAAGTAGAAGCTGGTGGCGTCCTGCACCTCGGTCACCACCACCTCCAGCGTCTCACCCTGTGCAAGTTTTCAGGGGGGAGGTTTGGGAAGGTGTGAGAGGTGGAGTAGGGAGGCAGGGAGGTGTATGGAAGACCTGGGGTGCTGGGCTGTACGGCCGTTTGTATTCCTGATGTTGTACGCTCGTCGACTCAACCCTCCAGTGGACAGGATCTGGAGCGGTCCAAGCTCCCGATGCACAATGGCCACGAGAGTGCACTGCTGGGCTTCCTGTGCATGACCCACCACCACTTTCTCGGGCAGAACGACATTGTGCCGCATGCCACGTAAACGCAGCGCCCCATCATGTCGGTCCCTGCGTCAATCCTCCCCCGCTCCTGCCCAGCAACGAGATTCTCCCTCCCCTCTCCAGATCCCTCGCCCCCACCCTCATACACACACACACACACACCCTCGCCCACCTGCCCCCCCGCGCCAGCCTCGTCGGCCTCCGCCGCCCCCGTGACGGGTGCCTCGTACTTCTCCCAGACCTTGAGCTTCTTGGAGCGCGCGGCCTCCTCGGCGGCGGCCAGCTCCGGGTGGCGCGAGGCGTCGAAGCTGGGGTGCAGCTTGGCCAGGCCGGCGGCCAGCAGCGCGGCGCCCAGGTCCAGCTTGCCCGCCGGCACGTGCAGCGTGCCCAGGAAGGTGCCGATGCGGTCCACGCCCTCCACCTCCAGCACGACATCGCGCTGGAGCACGCGGTCGCGCACGAACGCCAGGGCCTCGGCCCAGTAGGGCTCCTCCGGCACCGCGGCGCGGCCCGCCGAGGCGGCCTGCCCGCGCGCCGGGCAGCGCACGCCGCTGGGGCTGAAGGCCAGGGTGACGCCCTCCTTGGCCACGCTGACCTTCAGCCGGTTGGCCGACAGCACGTGCTCCACCACGCCGCGCACCTTGCCCGCGCGCTGGAGGAAGGGCAGGTGCGCGCGCGCGCGCTGCGCGGCGCCGGGGGCCGACAGGTCGTTGACGCGCGGCGCGGGGGCCTCGCGTGCTCCCCACTGCGCGCGCTTGGCCGCCTTGGCCGCCTCCTCCGCGGCCACCAGCGCGGCGTAGTGCGCCGACCGCTCCTCCTCCGCGCGGTGGCGCACCAGCTGCGCCAGACCGCGCTGGAGCAGCAGCTCGGCCGCGTTGAACCGGGCCTCGCCCTCGCCGGACAGCACAGAGCCGAAGGCCATGAGCCGCTCCTCGCCGGCGGGGGCGCCGCGCACCGCGGCGATGGCGGCGGCCGCGTCCGTGGCGCCGCCGCCGACCCTGCGCGTGTACTCCATGCTCACGCGCACGGGGCGGCCGATGAGGCGCGAGCGCAGGAGCTCGCGCGCCTCGGCGGCCCACGCCTCCGGCGCGCGGTCGCGCCCGCCCATGCGCGGCGTGCGGATGGAGGACAGCGTCACGCGCCGCTCGACGCCCGAGGCCGCGTCGCGCACCATGAGGCAGTCGCCGCTCACCACCTCGGTCACCGTGCCCTGGAAGTCGTCGGAGAGCTTGGCGGAGGCGGTGGGGGGCGGGACGTAGGCGTGCCAGACGCCGACGCGGGCCTGCCGCGCCGCGCGCTCCGCCTCGCGCAGGTGGAAGGCGGCGCCGGGCATCATGTTCAGGCTCCACTCCGCGCCCCTGGCCAGGCCGGCCTGCAGCAAGCCGCTGGCCAGATCCTCGCCCTGCCCGGACTCGCCCACGGGGTACGACACGCTGGCCACCAGCACGCCAAACTGGGAGGCAATTGTGATTTGGGGAGGGGGGGGGGAAGGATGTGGTTTGCAGGAAAATGAGGAGCCAGGCGGCGCAGCCTTTTGGCAGGCGGGTCGTGGGGAGGGCAACACAGGAAAGCCAGGTGGAAACGCACGAGGGCAGGGGAATCCGACGGTGCGTCCATTGCCAGGACACTGGGAACCGTATAGACAAACGCCTGCACACTTTCAACACGCTGTCCCCATTGCCGTTCAGGGGGCCACGCATAGCATCACTCCCCCCCCCCCCCCTTTCCCTCACTCCGTATTGACACCCCATGTCACCTGGCTGACGCCCTCCAGGGTGAGTTTGACCTCGCGCTGCAAGGTACGCACTTCTGTAAAGTGCTTGGCCTCGCGGGCCCCTGCCTCGGGCTGGGGCGCCGCGGCGCCCTCGGCCGCGTCGGCGTCGGGGCGCTTGCCCATGGAGGGCGCCGCCACGCCCGCCACCATGACCGCGACGGGCTGCAGGGAGGGGAGCAGCGTGGCGCGCAGCATGCTGCCGCTAATGACGGCCTCCACCAGGGCCTGCACGGGCTTGCCCTTGCCGGTGGCCGCCAGGAAGGACGCTGCGTCAAAGGCTGTAAGGAAGGAGAAGAATGGTGTGTGTGTGTGTGTGGAAGAGTGAAGGGATTGAGTATAGGGTTCCGGGTAAGCAAGGGAGGACTGCTGGCTTTGACAGGACATCAGCATTGTCACCCATTGCAGCCGGAGACCCATTGGGCGGCATTCACACGCCGCTCTCTGCCTCTCATATACCCACTCACCATCGCTGCTAGTGACGTCACGGACAGCAGCCTCGAGGGCGGCGGCATCCTGCGGGACGGTAAAGATTGTTTCGAAGACCTTCAAAGGCCACCAAAGAAGAGCTGCGCCGGCACAAATGCGGTTCAGCAGCCCAAGTGTAGCATCATCGGCCAGGCACACACTGCATGGGTCTCCGCCCATGCCCGCTCGATCAGGAATGCCCAGCCCTGCCATCCATCTCAAGCACACCTTGGTCCACAGGCCGAGCGCCTTTGCCTCGGCCTGCTCTTGGGCGCGGGCCAGGTTCTCGTAGAAGGCGGACTGCTGGCCGCCCGCGGGGCGCACCTTGGCGTACCCTGCCGCGACGACGGCCACGGCCACGTTGTCACGCTCGTTGAGGAAGACGGAGCCGAACTCGCGCCCGGCGCTCTGGTCCAGGGTGTACTCGACGCGGAACACGACGGGCTGGGGTGCATGATAATGGGGCGGGGACCTGGAGCGGGCGGCTCGGCTGTTCGTATAGGATCATGCAGAGCAATGCCAACATCAGGCAAGCGCCTTGGTCGGGTCCGCGCACCTTGCCGACTGTCAGCTTGCGCAGGAACTCGCGGGCATCCCAAGCAAACGGCTCGTCAGGAGTGGATCCGTCCCGCCGTCCCTGTGATCGGAGCAGGTGCAGGCCTCGGTGCTGGTGAGCTGTCTCGAGATCATCACCGTCAGAGGAACGAGTCGGGCGGCCACACCTCGCGGCACATTGCTACCATATGGAAATGAAACTAACACGAAAGCCCTTTACACCGGCGTACCAGGCGTGGGGCGATCAGAGACGCCAGGGTGAGGCGCTTCTCCGGGGGAATACCGGACTTCACAGCCCCAGCCACCACCAGGGTGTCGCCGCTCAGCACCTCCTTGACCACGCCGCGCAGCCAGCCTTGTTGCCCAGCCATGTCAGAAGGTGGTGGATGAGTTGGTATTGGGGTGGGAGATCCCTCTGGGGCGCGTACGGAAGTTGGGTGCACCTGGGCCTGGTGATGAGGAGTGGGAGAATCGGCAGGACGTGCTCCCAGGCCTGTTGATCCAAGAGAGAATGACGAGTTGCCCTGTCGAGCGTGCACGAGGTGAAGTAGGCAGACAGGGTGCATGGAACGCGTGCTTGGCCTCGACACGGTCGACCGGTGTCGGGAATCCGTCTGATACGCGCCGCACACAGCATGCCAGATGGCCGGCATGGGCTGCTGCCTCTCGACACGGCCAGTTGATGCAGTACAGCACCGTCGCTGGAGAAAACTTGACATCGTGCATCCAGAAAGGATTGGGCCATCGACGGTAGGAGGAGGATTGAGCAACAGGCAAGCGTGCAACTCAGCATTCGCGACTGAAGATCACAGCTGGGCTCCAGGCTCCTCCTTCTTGGGCTCTACTGCCGAGCTCTGTTCCATCAGCGCCTCCAGGTCCACGTCCTGCAGGCTGACGATCCTCAGTCTCGCCACATCGTCCTGGGAGATACAGTGGATTACGTAATGGACAAGGGAAGCCTGAGGAGTGGGACCTTGGACCTTTGCAGCGCGGTCCCTGGGCTCCTGATGACTTGCAAGGCTGCACAGCGGCACATACAGCACACTATCGCATCTCCCCACCTCCGCACCTCTGTGGCACCAAATATCTTTCTGAGATCCACCTCCTTGGCAGCCTCGGGAGAGAGCAACCCCTCGACTTGCGTCAAGTATTGGAGCTTGGAGAAGAGGGCCCTGTGTGTTTGGGTGTTGGCTTGTGCTTGATTCACACGTGCTTGAGAAGGCACAGGCTATAGTTGTTGTCAGGCCAAGCATGAACCAGAAGCTTTTGTATATCCCATGTACTGCACCTGCCATTTGAACATTCGCAAACCCATGAAGCTTGGCAGCACTCTCGGGCCTGTTCCGCCAGGGACAACCACACACCCAATTCCACATCACACCACCCAAAGCCTTCCCAACGCCAGCCCTCCCTCCTCCCCACACCTGCTGGTGGCCTTGCGCTCAATGCCCGCCCCCGTCATCCCCGAGGTGTCCAGCATCACGTTGCCGTACTTGTCGTAGATGCGCTGGGCCCGTTCCCGCAGCGCAGCGGCAACCTAGGCGGGGGGGGGGAGGAAAGAAGAACCATGGGTTTTGTGCAGAGCACGGTGAGGGGGGCGTCCCGTGATATCCAGGGCACCCATCAGCACTTGCACTCGTTCAATGTATATTGGAGTGGATACAGGGCAAGGAGCCAGGAATTGTCCCACTGCCAGCTCCATTTGGATCCCCACATACACATCCCTCCTCCCTCGATTATTTGCCGCCCCACCCCCACCCCCCCCCGCCCCCCAAAACAATCACCAAGCCCTACCTCGGAGTCTGTGAGTTGGAGGGCGGCCTTCAGGGCCAGGAGGTCGTCCACGGCCTCCTGCTTGAAGGCGCGCTCGCGCAGGAGGTACCAGAGGTACTTCCTGAAGATCTCCACATTGTTGAAACCGGTGCGGAAGCGGAGGGAGCCCAGGATGCTCCCCGCCAGCCCCGCGCGGTTGGACGGCAGGTACTGCGCCAGCGTGGTCACCACCAGCTGGTTCTTGTTCACGGTGCGGTGCCGGCGCTGCTGCGGGCTCAGCGCCTTGCGCAGAGCCTTGACCCCAACCAGCACCACGTTGAGCGCCAGGAAGCCGCCCAGGCCCAGTGCCGCGTAGCGCAGCGCGGGCCGCTCCGCCAGCGAGGCGGGCAGGCTGGGCAGCGACACCCAGTGGCGCGTGGCCGCGGCGTCCACGTCCTGAGCCGCGGCGGCGGCGGCCTCCTCCGCCCGCTCGTCGGCGGCGTCCTGGGCGGGGAAGTCGGACCCCGCCAGCCCGTCCTGCAGGCCCGTGGCCTCCCTCAGCTCTGCATCCCCCAGTTCCAAGGGAAGGACCTCCGGGGCGGGGTCTGGCGTGACCAGCTCCCCGTCATCCACTGGTGGCGTGCCAGGGTGGGCGCGCACAGGCGAGAGCCTGGGTCGCATGCGCCATGCTGAACCGCCTGCTATGGTTGGGGGGGAGCCGCGATGAGCAGTCATATTACATGGTCCTGAAGAGCATGCCACGGGCTAGAACATGACATCAGCACCCCATGTCATGCGATTGATTTCCGCACTGGTTCCACCTCCCGCTTCCCCACAGAAGCTGCTCACCGGAGCGACGCACGAATGGGTCACCAGGAAACCGTCCGTATGTCCCGATGAGCGACCTGTGTTGGCTCACGCCTATGCCTTGGCACGCAGCCATGTCCCCAGATGGCCTCGCCCTATATGACCGGAAGGAGGGTGCCCTGGATGTGAAGCAAAGCTTACTGAACACGGATCCTGGGAATATATCAAAAGCTTGGAAGCCTCGAAAACACTAAATCGAGAGACCGATGGTCGGCCTGTGGGCACGACCACGCGCATGCATGCCCATCTCGTATCGTTGCCCGATCGTGGGAGGGTCGCGAGCGGGGCAGTAGAAAGGTCGAATTGTTGCGCCCTGGGGCCCCCCCTCCCTTCCAGTGCCGGCCGGCAGGAACTTCCAATCATGCATGCAGACCCACCTCCCGCCCTGCATTCATATTAGAACTGCTCACATATGTAGGTGGTAGGCTGTGGACCCAATCCTGACACCCCTTCCTGGGAGCACCCAGCTAGCGCTCTGCCCGGCGACCCCAGGGCGCCGGGCTGTTCGCGTCCGTCATGGCTCCACCCAGCCCCCTGCTGGACCCCACCCAGTCCCAGCTGGCGACTGTGTCGGGCGATGGACGCCTCAAAATATTCGGCGTGGCATCACAGCGCCTGACCGCAGACCTTACCCCGGCAGTGAGCGGCGCCATCGGCGCAAGCGGGGCATCCGTCGACATCATCACCAGCATCTCCTGGGGCAACAAGGTGGGCTTTGGAGTGTTCAAATACTTCGCATGCAAGCTTAGATGTTCCAAAGGCTGCAAGGGTGCAGTAGTCTGCGTGTACGAAATCGACAGGCTTTGGGGAGGCTGGATGACAGCACTTGCGCATGCATCCTTCCCCAGGGGCAGCGTTTCAGTCGGCAATCAACACGAAACCCACCACCTTCAGGGTCGCATTGTTGTCGGAACAGCCTCCGGAACCGTGAAGGCTGTGGACTCTGCATCGACGTCCCAGGCCTGGAACACAACCCCCACCGGTCTGGAGGGCGGCGTGGCGGGCCTCGCCCACTCCCCAGATGCCAGGCAGCTGCTGGTGGTGGGCAGGGTGGGCGGTGCTGCCGTGCTCGACGCTGCCACGGGGGCGGGCGTCTCCTCTTTCCAGGTGAGGTCCACCGCATCGGTTTTCAGGAGTGGATGGTGGATGCCTGAGTGGAGGGATGAGGAGACATGGAGAGTGGGAGGGTTCTGGAGTGCAAGGTGGGGGGGGGGGGGGGGACGGATCCAGCTCAGAGTCCTGCCCTTGCCAGAGTGAGGGAGCGTGGGGAGGCAGAAGTTTGACACCCCCTGGATCCTTCATCTCAGAACCTCCATGCATGGACTCCTTCCTGGCATAGTATGCTCTACAAACACGCACATGCATTCCCCATGCAGGGCCCGAAGGGGCCGCTGACGGGGGTGAGCGTCCTGTCCGAGGGGCGCGCCCTCATCAGCGGCACCACCACCTCCCTGGTTGACATGGCCAGCGGCTCCCAGCTGGCCACCTGGACGCCGCATGCTTCGCCCCTTGCCGCCATCGCCATCGTCTCCGGCGAGGCTCATGTGGCCACCGCCGGCAAGGGCGAGCGCTCCGCCACTGTCTGGCGGATGGCCCCCGGTCGCAGGGGCAAGGCCATGCGCTTCACGGCGGCGGCCACCCTGAGCCTCCGGGTCCCGGCGCGGGCACTGAGCGCCGCCGGCATGCAGGGCCAGGAAGGGGGCGTGGTCGTCGCCGCTCTGCTACAAGACGGCAGCCTGGAGGTGTTTGTCGCTGCCGAGCTGCCCACGAAAAAGGGACTGCCGGCGGTGCAGGCGACCCGCGTCGCAAACACTGGCGAGGGCGCGGGGGTGCTGAGCGCGACGATAAAGTCCGCAGACGCCTCGGGTGAGTGAGTGGGTGTTTTGGCACGGGGAAGATGGGAATGCGAATGACTGGCTGGCGGGTGTCTGGGAGGGGCTGGACCATGGGAACAGCGTACAGAGAGTGTCGTGAAGGCGTTCTCAACGGTGTGGCAGAGTTTCCTTGATGGCGCTGTGTTTGGATCCAGAGGTGACCATCTAGACCAGAGCTTGACCTCGCCATTCCTTACATCTCTGTCCTCAGGATGCACCCTCCTGCTCGCGAGTGGGCCGGCTGCCAAGCCCCACTTCCAGACGCAGCATGTTGCCTTCAGCACAGATGCCAGCGCACCCACAATCATCCCCATCATGAGCGACGAGGTGGGTGGGATGTTACACGGGGACTGGGGTGCCTTCCAGCTGATACCCCAGCGCCATGCTGTACTGGGAATCACAAGGTCCTATGCTGTGCGCAGAGTGCCGAGGGCATGGGTGCAGTGGTGCCAGCGTGCCCATGGTTCAAGTCAGGGTGTGCGTCGCGGATCTGCTCTGGCATGTAGCGCGTGAATCTACTTTGGCCCCCCGCCACCCCCACGCAGAGCCTGCTGGTGAGCTCGCCAGCAGCCATCGCCTCCACGGCCCCCGCTGCGGGCCCAGGAAAGAAGGGCGTGAGCATCGTGGGCGTGTCTGACGTCGCCCGGTCCACGGTCGCCACCCCGTCTGGCCCCGGCAGCAAGCGCGGCGCTGCGCAGGCGTCCGATGACGAGGACGAGTCCATGCCCGAGGTGAGGGGGCGGCAGGGGCGCTTTGGTAGGACAAGACGACGGTTGATTGGGGTTCTCTCCTGCGGCGCGCCTTGATCACCACGCTCCGCTTGGAAGCCTCTGCTGCCTTCGGACAAGGATTGGCCCTCCATTCGCAGACCCACCCTGGCGCCGTGCGCCAACAGGGTCACAGGCCTCCTTTCTTCAACCATTCCCGCCCCACCCCGCTCCTCCCTCCCAGGCGCTGGGCGGCAGCGAGGACGAGGCAGCGCAGGCCGCTGAGGCGGGCCCCACCCTGGGCGAGCGCCTGGCGGCGCTGCAGGTCAGCGCCGGGGTCGCGCCCGCCCCCCCCCTGCGCACGGCACGGGCCTCCCCGCCCGGCCGTCGGCGGCCTCGCTGGCCACGTTGCTCAGCCAGGCGCTGCGCAGCGGCGACCGCGACCTGCTGGAGCGGTGCCTGGCGGTGCGGCGCGAGCGCGTGGTGTCGGCCACGCTGCGCGCGCTGGGCCCCGCGGACGCCGCGCTGCTGCTGCGCGCGCTGGTGGCGCGGCTGGGCGCCAGCCCCGCGCGCGGCGAGGCGCTTGCGGCCTGGGTGGGCGCCACGCTGCGCGTGCACGCGGGCAGCCTGGTGGCGGACCCGGGCATGCAGCCCGTGCTGGGGCGCCTGCACCAGGCGGTGGAGGCGCGGCTGGCCACCTACCAGCCCCTGCTTTCCCTGGCGGGGCGGCTGGACCTGGTGCTGGCCCAGGCCCAGACCGCGCAGCGCGCGCAGCAGGCGGCGGGCGCCGCGCCTGCGCCCGCGCCCGTGCGCGTGCAGCTTGGCGAGGATGGGTCGGTGGCGGTGGAGGAGGTGTATGGGGCTGGGGGCGATGCGGAGGAGGAGGACAGCGTGAGCGGGTCGGAGAGCGAGGAGGAGGAGGACGACGAGGATGGTCTCCTACCAAACGGGGTGGAGGACAGCAGCGACGAGGAATGAGTGGCCGCGCTCTTCTTGGCCATTCCTACGACATGTGACATCACGCCTGTAACACAGCAGCAGTACCGGTTGGCATATCCTGACGATGCGGGCTTTAGAGGGCGGCTTGTAGATGGGGGGTGTCGCATGTGGCATGGCGCGCATGCGATGCGCGAAAGGCGCCAGGGGTCGAGCCAAGCAGGCTCCCCGCACGCCTGCACCACCGAGGGGCGCGGAGCCCTCTTCGCCTTTTGCAGTACGTTTTCATACTGAATAGTGTCGTGGGGAGCAGACACCGAGGTGCATCCTGCGATCAAATATCTGGCGGCCGGGCCCTGACAGGGCCGTACTCCCGGCAGCAACATGAGGGCGCCATCGCGGGGACGGGGCGGATTCAGTAGAGGTGGGTTGCGCTGAATTAATTTATCATCAAATGCGTGTGCATGCAGACTGCGGTGGGGGGACTGGAGCAGGCAGTCGGGTTCCCCCGCAAAGTGAATTCCTTGCGGGGCACGGCGCGCCGGGGGCATGGCGCTTCAAACCGGCTGAGGCTCTCAACCCTGCACCGCCCACCATCACAACAGGTGGCGGCAGTAGCTTCGGAGGCCGTGGAGGTGGTTTCGGCGGGCGCAGTGGCGGTTTCGGTGGCCGGGGCCGGGGCGGGTACGAGCAGCAAGGCCCACCTGCGTCTGTCATCGAGGCGGGCACTTTCGAGCACCCCTGCGAGGGCGAGGCTGTGATCAAGCTGGCTGATTCCAAGCAGGTGAGGGGTGGATTGACTGTGGACTTGGGGCAGGGGTTTCAAGGTGTGATGATGGCACTGTGGGAGACGGCGAGGTACAAATCATGCCATGTGCTCTCCTCCAACCCCCTGCAGATCCCCTACTTCAACGCCCCCATCTTCCTGGAGAACAAGACCCAGGTTGGCAAGGTCGAGGAGATCTTCGGACAGATCAACAATGTGGTAAGTAGGGGAGCAAGGCCTCGGGACCACAGTATGTGGCTGTTAAATGTGTACTTTGCTGCACCGTATATGCGGCCGTGTGCCTTCCCATACTGCGTTTGCATCTTATTAAAGATCGGAGAATGGCTGTCACTGTCCTGTCTGCGATGTAGACGCTTATGCCCTTCCCGCGCTTCTGTTTGGGCTTGGCGGTGCACATGGGACTTTCTCGTCAACCCCCACTCCCGCGCCCTGCAGTTCTTCACCGTGAAGATGAGCGACGGTGTTGTCGCCACATCCTACAACAAGGGAGACAAGTTTTTCATCGACCCCGCCAAGCTCCTGCCACAAGAGCGGTGGGTGGCGTGACACGGCCGGGGGGGGGGGATCCTTTGTGATGACTTGCTAGTGAGTGAACTGCTCCAGACCTGCTGCCTGCCCTGTCAGCCCCCGCAAGGAGAGATCAATGGGGTGTATCTTGTCCTCCAAGTCAACGATGAACCCCTTGCGTGCCCGCAGCTTCCTTCCCAAGCCCAAGGGCGCCGCTGGCGGCCGGGGCGGAGGTCGCGGCGGCGGCCGGGGCGGTCGGGGCGGACCCGGCGGTCGGGGCGGCTTTGGCGGCCGGGGTGGCGGCGGCTTTGGCGGCCGTGGCGGCAGCTTTGGCGGCGGCCGGGGGCGGAGTCCAGGTGAGATGAGGGTGTTCTTTCAGCTGCCACACACCCGGGCCCTCGGCAGTGGCAGGGAAGGTCCGTGCGTGCAGACCCATGACCAGGCTCAAACATCCGCATCAATTCCCCACCAGGTGGCTTCCGCGGGCGGGGCGCCAGCCCCGGCGGTTTCCGTGGCCGGGGACGTTTCTGACCTTGCTCTGACCTTTCTTCTGGTATCACAGTCCCAACCAAGTGCCTGCCAGGCATGTGACTCACAGCCTGGGCGACGCTAAGGGAATGACAAGGGTCAACACAGGTCAAGAGAATTTCAAGTTGAGAGCACGGTGCTGTGGGTTGTTGGGAAATTGGGGTGCAGGGCACGCAAGGGGGGGCAAGCTGCTCTTGTGTAAAGGGCAGGAGGAGGGTAAGAGGGCGACGGAAGGGCCCCCCGCCATGCGGCGGCGCCGTTGCGAGGCCGGGGGGCAAGGCGGCACTATTCTACAACAAGTTGGGGGCAGCCCTGTGGGACGACAGCTCCCTGCTTGGGGGCCCAGGTGGAGGCAGTGCCACCCTGGGGCACCTGTCCCGCCCGGGTCGTCCACGCTGAGCACAGGCCTCTGAAGCATCTTGAGTGCCTGGCAGGCGCACGCTGGCATCTGCTTCCCCACCCCAGCGGAGCCCATCCACCTCGCTCCGTAGCCAGCGACTTTAAAACCCCTCACTGGTCGGCCCGGCGCTTCTTCTCGCCCACGGCCACCGAGTCAAAGATGACGGCCATCACGGCGTCGCGCAATGCGGACAGGCTCACCGCCTCCCCGCGCTCCAGCCGGACCTGGAAGACGTCGCAGACCATGCCGTGACGCGTCGTGGTCACTGCCGCGCTGGTGATCTGAGGACAGGGGGGGATGGAGGGGCGGGGAAAGGTAGGGGAGGGGTGGCTGGCTGGGTTGGTGCCGGTGGTTTACAGAGGGGAAAGTACAGGAGCGCAGCGCAGGGGCCAGGTCAGCGCCCCCGATCTCTGCTGGCCACAGGATGGGGGGTTGCAGAGCACCACGTGTACCCCAGAGAAACTCAGGAACATCAGGCATTGAACCCCCCATTCATGTCTCCAGCCCATGCAGATCGATGATTCAGCACACCCACCCCCCAAGGTTGCTTCTTTTCCCTCCCTGCCTCCCGGTTCCCTGATTTCCACCCCTGTCGCCCCCAACCGCCCACCTCCAGGGGCATGGTCTTCAGGGCGCGCACGATGTCGGCCAGCAGCCCGGCGCGGTCCTTGCAGTGCACTTTCACGTAGAAGGTGTCGTCTACGGCCTCCACCACCACCCCCTCCTCCATGGGCGAGGCGTCGTCCGGGGCCTGGGGCAGGTCGGGGTGGGAGTCGGCGGAGCGCTGGCTGTTGGAGGACAGCTCGCGGTGGAACTCGCCGGGCGGGCAGAGGGCCGAGGAGTCGTGCTCCGCCCCCGCCGCCGACACGCTGGTGGAGGAGGTGCCCTGCCGCCGCGGCCGGGGCTCGCTCGTCACCAACTGGAGCGGGGAGCAGCGGAAGGGGGGGGAGGTGTGGCCGCACGATCATGGCAAGGGCAGGAGGAGAGGGAGCAGAAGCACGGGCAGCAACCTGGCGCCCTGCCGTCGCAAGCGGTGCAGTGTGTTATGGCGAGCCGCAGACGTGGTGAATGAGGGACCCGGCACGCGCGCGCGGTTTTTGGTGCCAGCGCGATGGGCACTCCCCACCTTCCCGCCCGAGACCGTCACTCACGCCCACCCCGAGCCACACACCACACATCAGAGATCCGCCATCCCGCCGACCCGCCCACCTTTTCTTGGAGGTCGCGGACCAGCTGGATGGTGTCGGCCAGCACCACGTGCTTTGGCCGGCGCGAGTCGCTGCCCTCGGCCGCCTCACCGGTGCCGCAGCCAGCCTGTGGCGGGACCAGGTCGCGCAGCTCGTCGATCAGGGAGTTGATGCGGTCCCGGCGCTGCTTCTCCACCGTGCTGTGGCTGACGTGAGGCCGGCCGTCGCGGCGGGGGGGGCCGGTGCGCTCGACCGCGCGTCGGACCCGCGGCTGCTCTGCCCGCCGCCGGCCGCCGCCGAGCCGCCGCCGCCGCCCTGCTGCTGCTGCTGCTGCTGCCTGGGTGGGTGCGCCGTCGGCGGGACCGGGGGCAGGCTGTCGGGATGGCCGCGGCTGAACATCGCGCCCGGGTGGGGCATGCCCGGGGGTTGTGGGGCCTGCTGAGGCGAGTCCAGAAGCTCCAGCTTGACGCCCAGGCCGGGGGAGTCGGAGGGCAGGAAGGGGGACATGCGGCCGGGGTCGAAGCCCCCGCCGCCCACGTGCAGCAGGCCGTAGTCGTAGGGCTGGGGCTGGGCGCGCAGGTTCACGGTCTCCGGGGTGGGCAGGGTGCTGGCCAGGTGGGGCTGCATGGGATTCAGACGAGTAGGGGGAGGGGGGTATGCTCGAAGAGCAACACATGATCAGTCCAAGAAGAATGATGCGCTGAATCCATTTTGCTTCCCAGACCGCGCGGCAGGCAATACAGACCGTATTGCCCCTGCACGCGGCTGTGATGGTGCTCCAGCCAGTCACACCCAGGATCAAGCAAGGCACGCATGCCCACGGCCGCTCCATGCATAGAGTGTGCACATGCATGCCCGCCCCCAGGACTGACCTGGAACTGTAGGGGTGGTTGGCTGGTGCCTGGTGCCAGAAACGGCAGGGCTTGGGGTGGGGCAGGGAATGGCTCCCCCGGGCCCCTGACCTGTTGTCGCTCCATGAAGCCGAGCACATCCTCCAGCTCCTTGTCAGTGAAGGTGTAGTCGAAGTCCCCTGTCCAGAGGGAGGAGGGTGCGGGTGGGATGGGGACGCGGTAAGCAGGTCGCGGCACACGGGAGTGACCCACCACTGCAGGCCGCAGGGCGCGCAATGCCCGAGGCATCGCGTGCAGAGATCCTCACGTACCGAAAACGCCATGCGACAGGTTGATGTCGCCGGGCGCCGGTAGACTGGCGTTCATGGCCAACTCTCAGACCCTAGGGCGCTGCCGAGGGCGCGCCTCGTGTTCCGAGGCTGCAGGGCTTCTCCGAGGCGCCTGATTTGTCTCTATTCCCTCAGAAGGGTGAATCCGAGCCGACCGAGATGCTCATCACGTCATGTTAAGGGATGATTTCCGATGAACGCCCACGAAGGACCCGAGCCGAGTGGGCAGGGCCTAGAGCCCCGGCGCCCTCGACCAATCGACCCCGGTCCCTTCCACCTGCAAAACTCGGCAGCCAAAGGGCGCAAGGTGGACTGGCACCGGCCTCTTTCCGCTGGGAGTAGGACAGAGAGAGAAGCTACAATGGCGAGACGTGAGTGGGGCGTCGCGACCACTTGGGCTGCCCTCCCGCCGGGCTGCCTGCCGGCGCCAGCGATGGCCTCGCTCCGCCGGGGCTGCAGAGGATGCATGAGGCGCGCGGACATGCCTGGGGGTCGCTCTTGATCCCGAAAATATCCCCACTCCGTCCAATGCAGGTCCGGCCCGCTGCTACAGGCAGATTAAGGGGAAGCCATACCCCAAGTCCCGCTTCTGCCGTGGTGTGCCCGACCCCAAGATCCGCATCTACGACGTCGGTGCGCGTCGCGCCAATGTCGACACCTTCCCCAGCTGCGTCCACTTGGTCAGGTGCGCGAGGGGCTCCAGAAAAGGCCCTCCGGGTCAGGGAGGGAGTCCCGGCCTTGTTGACGTGAGCCCAGACTCATCCCCCCCAGCAAACGCGTGGTGGGATTTGTCGCGTGGTAGGAGTCGCGGCTCCGGGCTTGAGAACCCTGGTCAGGAGCCCCGGGCGCGACTGCTTTCCACCGTGCTGCCTTCTGGAGACCAGGGGTGGAGGGGAGGAGCCGGGAGCCTCAGCAAAGCTGGACGGCCGGGGATGGCACTGGACCTGACAACCCTCACGTCACTCCCGCAACCCTTCTCACTCACAAGAAGCTCATGTCCATCCCCATCTTCCCCCCCCCTTCTCAGTTGGGAGAAGGAGAACATCTCCTCCGAGTCCATGGAGGCGGCCCGCATTGCCGCCAACAAGTACATGGTGAAGAACGCGGGCAAGGACGCCTTCCACCTGCGCGTGCGCGTGCACCCTTTCCACGTCCTGCGCATCAACAAGATGCTTTCCTGCGCCGGCGCGGATCGGCTGCAGACCGGCATGCGCGGCGCCTTCGGCAAGCCCTTTGCCCTGTGCGCTCGCGTGGCCATCGGCCAGATCCTGCTGTCCATCCGTTGCCGCGACGCGCACGTGGTGGTGGCGGAGGAGGCGCTGCGCCGCGCCAAGTTCAAGTTCCCCGGCCGCCAGAAGATCGTGGTGTCGCGGAACTGGGGCTTCACTGCCTTCAACCGCGAGGACTACATCCAGTGGAAGCAGGAGGGGCGCCTGGCCGCCGACGGCCTGAACGCCAAGCTGCTGGGCAACCACGGGCCCCTGGCCGCGCGCAAGACCCACGAGCTGTTCGAGGGCCCCGCCCGCACCTACAAGATCCCCGTGCACGCCTGAGCCTGGAGCGCGCTGCCTGTGTAACAGCTGGACCAGAGTGATTGCGGTCGATGTAGCGCCAGACCAGAGGGGGCCCTGTTTTGCTTGGGAATCCAGCTTGCGCTCAGGGCTGAGGGGGAGTAGTGACGCACGATGCAAGGAGCTCACAGGATGCGAGAAAGTTTGCCTTAATCAGCAATGCTTGGCAGGATCCTCCCACACTCCCGACCAGCATGATGACTGTTCAGGCGGATGGAGAGGAGGAAAGTGGCTTTGCCTTTAGGGACTCAGAGAAGTTTCCAATTGGACGTGTGCCCCAAGGTCCCAGAGTCACGGGGGAGCAGTGAAGGCGAAAAGCATGTGTGGCATAACATGCGGGAGTTACGTACGAAACGCCGATCACCGAGCGGAGCTCAGTCCAGCATGTAGATGCGTTTGGAAATGTCCTCCACGACCCAGTCAAAGGCGGGGAGGACCCCGCTGCCGGTCACGGCGCTGCACCCCGCCAGGTGCCAGTGCCGCCGTCCCAGTCCCTGCAGCTGCAGCACCTGAGTGGGGTGGAGAGGGAGCGGGTTGGGGAGGGAGCGGGTTGGTGAGAGAGTGGGTTGGGGAGGGAGCGGGTTGGGTAGCTTGCTGAGCAGCCATGCAGCGGCTTCGATACATTTCAGGCATGGCCCCCTTCCACGCAGTCAACTTTACGAACCCAGCCATGGCCTGAACAAAGGGGGTCTGTCATTGGCATGCTATAACGCTCCTTGAGCTTGCCATCACAGCTTTGCACCGGCCCGCCGAGGATCCTCTTTCACAACATGGCCACCATCAACCAGGCCACCTGCTCAATTTCCGAGGGCGCCAGGGCACCTGCGATGTCCTGCTTGTTTGCCAGGACCAGGAGGCTGGCGCCCGCCAGCCGCTCCTCTAGCAGGAGCCGTGCCAGCTCGGCGCCGGTGTCCTCAAGGCGCCGTCGGTCTGCGGAGTCCACCACCCAAACCAGGCCATCGGTCTGCTCAAAGTAGTTGCGCCAGTAGCTGCGCAGCGACTTCTGGCCACCCACATCCCAGATATTGAGGCGGAAGCTGTGCAGGGATGAGATGGTAGGGGTGGGAAGGATGAGGGATTCGCAGCGCAATAGATATCCATGCCCGCTGAAGGTGTCTGTGGCAAAATGACGTGTGCTGCCTGAGCCATGCGTACTCTTACTGAGGACAACTGCCATGCACTATGTAACCATTCCTCTTGAGACTGGATTCATCTCCATGCTCACCCTTTGAGCTGTAATGTCTCGATGTTGAAACCTAAAGTGGGGCTCACGCTCTTGACGTCGCCACCCGTCAACTGCTTCAGAACCGTGGTCTTGCCAGCATTGTCCAGCCCCCTGCGCGCATGTGTGGATGGTGCTCATATTGCGATTGGGGTGCTCGATGGAATTTGCATGCGATCATCGGCCTCCTTCTCTCGGAATGAGGCTTACACGACGAGGAGGCGCATCTCCCGCTCCTGCCGTTTGACTTTCCTGATGATGCTCAGGAGACCCATTCTATTAAACTTTGTGATCGAACTCTACATACTGCTAGTTTGGGTATTAAATGCATTGACTTGTGACAATGAGGGCAAGCGGAGGGCTGACTGCGACATGACTGGGAAATCTGGCAGATTCTGGACCATCAGAGGGTGGGGATGACTGAGGACAAGTATTGCGATTGCACGTTCTCCAGCGCAACCCTTCGCGCACTCCTGCTCCAGTTCAGGGCATGCTCGCAGGTTTGATCTGACCATCCGAGGGTGTAACCCAAACACCTTGCGGAGATGGTGGTAGGGTGCTCAGGCCCCTCTTACCAAAGCCCTTGCTCCAGAAGCACTGGAAAAGCTCTGGTCTTCATCCATGAAATTTCAGCAAAAGAGTGTCCAGCATACATGCAGCAGTCTGGATGTTTCAGTGCCCCAGGACCAGCACGAGATTTTCAACCTTACAACTTGGTAGATTATGAAAGGCCCACAACAGCACATTATACCCCGTCGTTTCCCCCGAAGATGGGTGGTCACCCTGCCATGATATGCACATGTCAGAGATGGCCGGGAAACTGCACTGTTTATTGGCACTTGTGTCGTAGCTCCAAAAAAACTCGGGGCAGCCAAAAGTGTGATTGCATGGGGCGCTGGATGCTGCGCCAAATTGCTTGGTCGTCAACGCCCAAGAACCGCATCAAAAGGATGGAGCCGCCCCATGACGCGCTTGGCTGCCTTATATTTGTTCATGAGACCTGCTTGCCAGACTCATCACCCTTTGGTTGTCGCAAAGGCACCGTTGACGAGTTCAGCGAGGGGAGGAGAACTTACCCCTGCACTATAGCACAGTCAAATCCTCGTATCAAATATTTCATGCGACTCTATCTCACGTCCCTGATGCCTTCAAAGGAACTCAAATCGAAATACGGTCGTCATACATGCCCATATTCATGATTCGCAAGGAATTAGGGTGGCCGGGTCACACGCCCATCTCATGGGTACTTATATCCTCGCGCAGCGGCTATCAGACGATTGACAACTATACGAGACCATTAGACATGTTTTGCCCAGAATAGATGTGCACAGATACTTGGAAAGCCGGTGTGTAGGAAATCGGCGTGGGAACTCCGTGAAGTGACTGCTGGAAAGGAGGAGTCAATCGGTATGTCCGTATCCTGAAGATAGCGATGGGGTGTTGCCGAGCCTCCAGGTGAAAATCGATCAACACGCGACACTCGCCCCTTGCAACCAGAATCAGAGGCTTGAATCGCCGTTGAGAATAGTAGCTTGCTGCCTTGTCGCCATGCAGAGCGTGTGCGCGCAGTCGGTTTCATGCAAGGGGGCCTTCACCCAGTCCCTGCGGACCCCCCGGTGAGTCATGGCGCCGGGAAGTCTGCTCGAGCAGGATCTCATGACACTCGATTTCCAGTGGCTTAATCTCCATCCTCGCTCCTGGAGTGCAGATGCAGCAGGAGCCAGCTCGTCTGCCGGGCTGATGGCAAGGCCGGAGCCTTCATCAAGACCGTAAAGAGCGGTGCTGCCGCTCTGGCTGCCTCCCTCCTCCTGTCTGGGGTGAGCAGGAGTTTGCTCCTGATTTGTTCGAGGGAAAGCTGTGCACGCATCCTGGTCGGCTCCTCTTTTGATGAACGTTTCTGGGGGTGGGATCGCTGGGGTTCCTGCAATCCCTCAGGATATGATTCCTGCACCCACTCCGGTGCATCAGAAGGAAGACACGCTTGGCAGCTCGCAGAGGCCCTGCATGCACCACTCCCATTCACCCACACCCTTGCTCCCCCTCCTCCATCGTAGGGTGCGGGCGCACTGACCTTTGATGAGCTGCAGGGCCTGACCTACCTGCAGGTGAAGGGCTCTGGCATCGCCAACACCTGCCCCACCCTGTCTGGCGGCTCCTCCAACATCAAGGACCTGAAGAGCGGGACCTACTCCGTCAACAAGATGTGCCTGGAGCCCACGTCCTTCAAGGTCAAGGAGGAGGCACAGGTGCGGGACGAGAGGGCGAATGCGGTCAGGGACGGCAGGGCGCGGCTGGGGCTCTCCGGTTCGATGTAGTCGCAAGTGATGATGAGTGAAGGAGCTTCAGGCGCCTGCTGTTCCACGCTCACTTTCCCAATGCACACCCTCTGGTGTGCAGTTCAAGAACGGCGAGGCCGACTTTGTGCCCACCAAGCTCGTCACGCGTCTGACCTACACCCTGGACGAGGTGTGTTGACCCCTTTGGGGCGGGGTGAGGGCTGTCAAGACATTGGTGGATGGATGTGGTGCAGCCGGTTGGGGTTTCACTTCCCATGTCCGACCTCTGATTTACGATCTACCTCTGCAGATCTCTGGCCAGATGAAGATCGACGGCAGCGGCGGCGTGGAGTTCAAGGAGGAGGATGGCATCGACTACGCTGCAGTCACCGTGCAGCTTCCGGGCGGGGAGCGCGTGCCCTTCCTCTTCACCATCAAGGAGCTTGACGCCAAGGTATGGGGACTGGGGAATGGAGGGCAAGGGGTCCTGTGTGACTGCCAGGCAAGTATGTTGAACCACCTGCTGCTTAATCTTGATTTGGGGGTGCAGACATTAGGAACTGCTATTGAGAGTATATACACTCGCTGCAGAGGGAGCCGTTGCCTCACAGGTCTCCCTGCACAACACCCTTGTGTTCAAGCCTCACATTGGGTCCCCTCCCACACACCCACTCCCACCACCCAGGGGACTGCCGACGGCTTCAAGGGCGAGTTCACCGTGCCCTCCTACCGTGGGTCCTCCTTCCTGGACCCCAAGGGTCGCGGCGCCTCCACCGGCTACGACAACGCCGTGGCCCTGCCCGCCGCCGGCGATTCCGAGGAGTTGGAGAAGGAGAACAACAAGTCCACCAAGGCTCTGAAGGGGGAGGCCATCTTCTCCATCGCCAAGGTGGACGCCGGGACAGGGGAGGTGGCGGGCATCTTTGAGTCCATCCAGCCCTCCGACACGGATCTCGGGGCCAAGGTGCCCAAGGAGGTCAAGATCACGGGGCTGTGGTACGGGCAGCTGTCCTGAGCGGCGCCAGCGCCTCCCGGCCAGCTGGGAGGGGACCCTGAAGAAACGGAGTCGCAGTACTTGAGACGATGATCGCTTTCGATGCGCGTCTGCCATGGCGGGCGCGCACCCGCACGCAACACCCTGTAAACAAGCCAGTGCTCTTGGGAGAGCGTGGCGGGTCCGAGGGTCAAGGGTGGGAATCGAGGTGTTGTGCACGGACAGAGAGGCAGGCTGCCAGGGCAGATCTGGTCACGGCCGGGAGGTATGTGAACCCGACTTGTATCTTGTCGTCCTGCTGTGTCGATCCTGTATGAAGCAATCTTGTGACAAGTTGCAAAGTCGGTGGGTGGGTCAGGGTCAACCTGGAAAAGATCCTTGTGCAAGTTTTGGAAGTAGATGGGTAAGGACTGACAGGGAAAGCGTCATCAGCAATGATCGTAGTGTGTGGGTGGTCGGCTTGGTTGCATGGTCTGGGTACGTATCCTGGTGGCTGGCCAGGGCTGGGGTGGTGTAGCAAGGGTCTCCTCCGGGTCTCAGCACTTCATCAAGCTCGAGACAGACCCATGCGCTGCAGCATTCTCTCCTTCCTCGACAGGGCCGGGCCCTCCTTTCCCATCGCTGGGAGTTGCTCTAGGGCACCCTGTGAGGATGGGGAGATGTTGGGGTCCAGATCAGGCATGAGCGTGGCATTCTGCTTCGGAACAAGTGCACAAGACCCCCCGCCATCCCACCTTGGTGGCAACGAAGAGTGAGGTGAGCTTGCCACTGCCGCCCTTCGGCCGGCGCATGGCTGGCGGCGCGGCCTCCTGCTCCGGCGGCGTGCACACCGGCTCCAGCGAGCCGTCCTCCAGAGCCACGGGGGCGTCGCAGGTGGCAGCCTCGCCACCGTCTGCGGCCTCCGAGTCCCGCTCCGCCGCCGGTGCATGGGGCGCCGCCAGCCAGGCCCCCCAGGCGTGGGCCCGCTTCCGCGCGGCGATGGCCTGGGCAGTCTCCCCCGTGGCGCGGTGGACGAGGTAGTCGTGCACGTCGCCGAAGCCGGCCGCCCGCGCCGCGCCGACCAGCTGGTGGGTGGGCGCCAGGCCGGCCGCTCGCCGGCACGGGCCGCAGTTGCAGCACGCGGCGCAGCCGGGGCCGCAGCCGCCGCGGCAGGGCGGGCAGACCCAGGCCTCGGAGGCCAGGGCCTGGGCCATGCTCTCCCCGTGCCGGTTCAGCAGGCACATTGTGCTGAGGGAGGGCGAGGAGGCGGGTTCACTTGGCGTGTGCGAGTGTGAGCGTGGGTGAATGATGGTGCGAGCGTGGGGAGTGGAGACCCCGACTCCACCAGGGAAGTGCCCCCTCACATCCACAGCGGGATCCTGCCAGGGACAGGGCCTGGGAGTGCCTGGCCGCCAGACTGCCCTGCGCAGGCATGCCCTGATTCCCTCGCACGGCCAGCGGTCCACGCCCGTCTCCGTGCCCCCTCCCAAAGCCAGGAGTGACAGCCCCCCACCCACACCACGGCACACACCAGAAGGACACGGGGAGGCGGCGCCCCCCCCCGCACCCCGGCGCCGTGCACTGCACGTGTTCCTCCAGCGTCTTCTGGCGGCACCAGTGGCAGGTGACGCCGTACCGGCTGTCATACACACGCCCACCCTGCACGCGCACGCCCCGCCCCGAGTCCACGCGGGGCGCGGCGGGCCGGGCGCCGTCGGCCGGGTGGTCGGGAGCCCCACCCACGGCCCCGCCACGCCCAGCGCGCAGGGCGGCCAGCCGCTCAGGGTCCGGGGCCGTGCAGCGCGTGCCGCGCCGGGAGAAGGCGTCCAGGCGGTCGATGCCGAGGCTGCGGTACAGGTTGTCCTCGTCGTAAAACTCGGCAGGCGTGCCTGCCACTCGGCCGGACCTGCGCACGCTGCGCTCCTCCTGGGGCGATGGGAGGAGGGGGGGGGGCGGAGCTTGGAGAGGACCTGTTGGGACCTGGCAGGCGTCGACAGCCAGTCCACACACAGCAGGCCCATGCTTCAGCCAGCATCGCCACGTAGTCGGGGGTCGCTGCGCTTGCTCTCTCAAGCATAAGAGATGCATGGTTGCTAGTGCCCGCGCAAACCCCCCACGTCCTCGGCTGACCTGGGGAGCGTCGTCGCGGCGTTTCCGTTGGGGGGCCTGGCACTGCTGAGGCTGAGGCACACGTGGAGCAAGCCTGTTGCAGGCTTCCACGACCCCAAGCTCCTGCGAGGGAATGAACAGCACACGGGGCGTCAGGCCAACCGGGCGGGGTGCAGGCTGCCGTGGGATCGTGGGCTGCTGAGGGACCATGGCCTAACCAATGGCAACCCTGGCGTGACAGATGAGCACAGTGGGGTACACCGCGACCCGCAGATCCAGGCATATAGAACCCTCTTATGAAACTTGTTTCATCGTGAAACTGACGGTCTCCCTCTTCAGCGTGCCGAACCCGGTGCCAATCCCACCTTGAGCCTGGCCTGGTTGGCCGCAATGCGGGCCTGACGCTCGCGCTCATAGACTGTCATGTCTGACATTGTATCGCAGATTGAGTCTGTGTATTGCAAGTAACCCAAAAATAATAGGGCTGATCTTCGGTTCGATCATGCCGAATGTCCGATGCATCTGGCAGGCCCGTCAGGCACGGCGCGCGCGATTCAAATCGCGATTTGAAAATCCGTTGGTTGGCAGCAGCTTCTATTCGATGCTTTGCAGGGGCAACACCCCCGTTCCAGGCCGCGACAAGTTCGGTTTAACGGGCGGTGACGGTGCCAGGAACCAGCAAGCAAGAGAAGGGTGATTCTACACAGAAAATGGGAAACGCCGGGACCCGTCACGCGGGCCTGCCTCGCGCCGCTCGCAGGTCGTCAAAGTAGACGTGGTCCAGCGCGGCGCGCGCCGTGATGCGGCGGTTGGGGTCATACTCCAGCAGCCGGCTGAGCAAGTCGATGCCCGCGGGGCAAAGGCCAGGGATGAGGGGCGCGAGCGGCTTTGGCCGCCACTGGGGAAAGATCGACTTGTAGTCGGGGAGCTGGCTGACGCCGGGCCACACCGTCTCGTCGGGCGTCCCCAGCAGCTGGAAGATCTTCAGCAGCTCGTCAATCTCCTGCGGGGAGGCGACGGTCGAGGGCGAGTCTGTGAGGCTTGGCGCTGGTGGGCATGGACTCTGAGGCCAAGGGTGCTTGCAGGGCCCTCACAGTCCAGGTATGACCCAGTAAATTGTGGGGGATGTATCAGAGGCAAGTGCCCGCACGAAAATCCAATCCGAGCATCCTGGTGACAAGGGAGCGCCTCCCATCACCCCCCTTTTCCCCACAACACCAACGTGAGCTCACCGAGTCGCCTGGGAAGAGGGGTTTCTGGAGGGCCATCTCCGCGAAGATGCAGCCGATGGACCAGAGGTCCACGGGCGTAGCATAGTGCTTGGATCCGAGGAGGATCTCAGGGGCGCGGTACCACAGTGTAATCACCTGGCACGCCAAAATGAGGGTGGAGGGGTGCTGAGGTGTGGGGAGGGCTCATACGGAGGAGAACAGCAGCGGGTGCGCAAGTCGCCAGCGATGCGTCGACCTCCTGACCCAGATTGCCCAATCGAACAGTGGCTAAGCCCATGAGGGCTTGCAACCCCGCCTCACCCTCCCTCCCTCTGACCTCGTGGGTATAGGCTCTGACGGGGATCCCAAAAGCCCGCGCCAGCCCAAAATCAGCCAGTTTCAGGGTATTTGTCTTCTCCTCAATCAGAAGATTCTGCGGGGCCGGGTGATTGTGTGGTTGCTTCTGGGGGAATCCTGTACCACATGAGGAGCAGCCGTGGGGGCTCCAATGCCACGCCCCCACACCAAACCCTACGCAAGACCCCTTGCCTGTGGCTTCAGGTCCCGGTGCAGTATACGGTGAACATGACAAAAGGCGATGCCCTGGAGCATCTGATACACATAGTTCTGTGAGCGTGGAGTCGTCGGGGAAGGAGGGCGCCTGTCACTGGATGCGGTAGGTTTGGGGTGCAACCAGGTCTCGAGCCTTCCGGCTGGAGCCCAGTGTCAGCTCAGGCTCCAGGCCCATCACAACACACAGCAGCTGCCGGTCGCGGTGCAGCAGCATGCCACACTCCTTTGCGGATTCCGCAGGTATGGTCACGGGACAGTCAGGCCTGGCAACTGCGCCAACCAGCCTCCCAAAACGCACCTTGACGAGCGCAGGGTCCTTGAAGGCGGCCGGGTTGCTGTCCATGCTCTTCTTCAGGTCCACGTCCAGGAACTCAAATACGAGGTACAGCTTGCGATCCTCATGCACGACGTCATAGAGGCTGTGCATGGAAGGGTTGGGGTTGCGGTTTGCGGGCAGCTGGGGGGCCGAGGGCCAGTCCGAGGCAGGCACCGCCACAGCTCGGCGGGTGCGCAATCGCAGCGAGGGTATGGCATGGCCAGCACCCCCAGCCCAATCCCAGGCCCAGGGTGTCACGAGCAGATGGCCATACCTCACAATGTTCTCATGCTGCAGCTCCTTCAGGAGCGAGATTTCCCGAATGGCGGTGGAGGGCACCCCCTCCTCCTCTGCCTCCAGCCTGCAGGTTAGGGGACGGGACGAGTCGGGGAGGGCGGGAACCCGTACGACCCACCGGTGGCGCAGCAACTCGGCCCCTTCGCCTCGCCTGATTTGCTTCAGTGCAAGCAGGCGGTTGGTCACGCGATCGTGAGCTCGGAAAACGACGCCATAGGTGCCCTCGCCGATCTTGCCGACTTGGTGGTACTGGACAGGAGCGGGGGGAAGCGATGGTGGGTGAGCATGGGGGCCCTGCAGATGTATTGCAGCCGACATGGCATGGAATGGCTGCGATGGTAATGGACCCGTGGCGCCGAGGGACGAGCTCGGCGGGATCTCTTCCCGGCAAAGCCCGGCATCACGCCCCGGCTTGACTGCTGAATCGACGCCAGAGACAGTCGTTCGAATCCAGAACCGGTCCCATCAATCATACAATGCCATAATTGTGCGGATTTTACCCACCCTCTCCATGGATCGCAGCCCCAGATTGAAGAGCGAGGACCCCGGGCTGAGACCGCAGGTCCCTGGGGAGACTACAGCCAGTCTGGGACGGGCTATGCAAGGTCGGATCAGGTAGTCACATGGAAGGCCGTCGTGCAAGGCATTGGCCTGCGAACCCAGGTTGCGACGTCGGGGTCTGCCTGATGAGGACGAGGACGAGTGTTCCGCAGAGAGTTGTGTGAGAGCGATCCACGTGGGCAGGGGGTACGGTGTCACGGTACCCAGTTCAGGACCATCACCTTGACAACATCTGTGGGACTCCACCCCGGCCATGCACGGACCTGACGCCCTGCATCTCTGCACGAGGCAGTCACCTCCGCGCACCACATGGTCATGGCGCCCGGATCGAGTCGTCCCCCCCCCTGAACTGCCGCACTTCACCGGCCTGGGGTTATGAGCAGCCCTCAGATGCTTGATCTGAGCCCCAGCCTGGGCGGCAGGGGGATGCAGTCTTTCTCCTGCAGCAAACTAAAGCTTGATAGTTTATTCGTGCAGTGGTTCTCCCTGTCCTCCTCCCAGCACCTGGTGAGGTGTCGGAGTGTCGGGCACGGTGCTCAAACTACGGGATGCTCCAACCCTCGCATCCCGGCCTCGGCGGTCCCTCCTCGGCATGGCCCTGCAATTTTCATATGATTAATGCCCGTTCCTCCGCCCATAGGTCCTCCAATTACTCGAGGACGTGAAGGCCGGCAAGCCCGTGCCCACCGCCTCACCCAGCAAGGTCTCAAGCCCGCACACCAGTCATGCCTTCTCCTCGTCCACTGTGCGTGGGCCATGCCCTGTGGTGTGATTATGCTCCTTGGAAGCTGAGGCAGTGTCGCGCCGGCGGGCAACCCTCTGATGCCGTCCCATATTGGGGCGTGGCTCCTGGAGGATCACTGCCGTCACGCTACGTCCCGAGCATGCATCAGCTGTCTTAACACTCCCTCCCTCTCCAAACTGCTACAGCCCCCGCTGTCACCGAGGAAATCGAGCGGCCCCTCCTCCCCCTTCTCACTCTCCCCCATCGCCCACAACTCCGCCAAGCTGGTGAGAGGGTCAGGGATCTTACTGAGGCGGGCTGGGCCGGCATCGCTCAGGGCCGATGCCAGCACCTGGCCAGGCCTGGCAGCCGCGTCGTTTCCCCATGTCAATGTTGAACCCCACCTCCACCCCCAACCCACGCGCGCAGGGAACCCCCCCCATCTTCATCCCCCAGTTCTACTTCCCCGGGACGGGCCCCGGCGCGGCGCACAAGGCCAGTGCGGACAAGGTGGACGCCTTCTTCGCGGTGTACCCGCAGGGCCTGTCCCTTGACAACCTGAAGGCGCTGCTGAAGCAGGTGTTCGGCCTGCCCACCCCCCTGGCCTACCCCCTCTTCTACAAGATGGCGCCGGGGGAAGAGGGCCTGGTGTCCCGCGCTGCCCTGCGTGCCTGGCTGGACCGCGCCGGCTTCTGGGGCCTGGATGGCCCGGGCAGGGCCATGGAGATCCTGCGTGCACCAGGGTCGGCAGGCGTGACCCCCGCCGACCTCAAGCCTGTGCTGGCCGGCATCCTGATCAGTCATCCGGGCCTGGAGTTCCTGGCAGAGTCCCCGGAGTTCCAAGAAAGGTGGGTGGGTGTTTTATTTTTTTTTTGGGGGGGGCCTGCATGCATGCTTGGTGAGTGGCTTGGTCGGGGTGGATGTGGCGGGCGGCAGCAGTCAGAATTTCCCCGCCTGTGCTGGTGCTCTGCCTGCGCTGGTGCCCAGGGAGAGGGCGAGGTGGAGTCTGTGGTCCGAGCCTCCGCCTGGACGCACCACCTCCGCGGACCTGCCCTGTGCCCTGTTGCTTCAGCATGGGTTCATCTGCCCCTCGTGGGTTTCGGGGCATGAAAGCCCTCCTCCTCAGGCCTGCCCTGTTCTTGGCTCTTCCCAAGGACCTGCCCCTGAGCCCCACCTCTGACCCCCCCCTCTTCTCCCGCATCCCCTCGTCAGGTACGCGGAGACGGTGATCCACCGCATCTTCTACTCGCTCAATCGCTCGGGAACAGGGGTGCTGAGTCAGCGCGAGCTGCGCCGCGGCGACCTGCTGGCCGCGCTGGGCGAGGTGGACGCGCAGGACGACATCAACCGCGTCGCGCGGTACTTCTCCTACGAGCACTTCTACGTCATCTACTGCAAGTTCTGGGACCTGGACACGGACCACGACTTCCTGCTCTCGCGCGACGACCTCCTGCGCTACGGCAACCACGCGCTGACCTTCCGGATAACGGAGCGCATCTTCAGCCAGGCCGCGCGGCCCTTCTCCACGGGGAACCCAGCTCAGATGGGGTACGAAGACTTCATCTGGTTCATCCTGTCTGGTGAGCAGCCAGGGATGGGGGTAGAGCAGGGTGGATTGGGGGGGGGGCGAGGATCCATGACACGGGGCGACTGGAGGGAATCAGGGGGTGGCTGGGGCAGGGGAGAGCCTCTGGCAATCCAGGGTGTGAATCCAGGGCGGGATGTATGGTCAAACAGGTACACCAGTGGTACCTTGGTGCACGTGGCCTCCCATGTTCAGCCATGGTACTGCGTAGTCATTCCCTCATCCACCTGCATCACACCACGTCCACAGAGGAGGACAAGACCACGGACACCAGCTTGGAGTATTGGTTCCGCTGCTGCGACCTGGACGGCGATGAGCACCTGCACAGCAGCGAGTTGTATGTGAGTGGGACTTGGGGTGAGATGGGGGAGGCGGGCGCGGGGGGGGGGGAGGCGTGGTCGTGTCTGGAGAGCACATGCAGAGGGAGTGTCGGGAGGTTACGAAGCATCGGCACGCACGTTGCTCTTCAGCAGCGCGGTTGCTGCCGCGGCCTCCTGCAAACCTCACAGCACTACCGAGACTGGGCTTCAACCTATCGTGTGTTCCTCCTGTCCGCCATCCCCCGCACATGTCTCGATCAACGCAGTACTTTTACGAGGAGCAGCTGCACCGCATGGAGTGCCTGAGCCAGGAGTCGGTCTCCTACTTTGACGTCATGGGTCAGCTGCACGACATGCTCAACCCAGAGGTGGGAGGGCGGGGCGGCGGCTGCGAGTGCTGGGAGATGCGGGGCTGGGCAGAGCATCCCTGGCTGCGAGTGCAACTTGGTGGGCCGATTTGCCACCTGCGCGCCGCACGGCCCTTCCAAATCCCAACTTGCAAAACCCGACCCGTCCCACGTCCCAATCCTCCAACCCCTTCCTTTCCCTCCAGAACTCGACGTACTACACGCTGGGAGACCTGAAACGGAATCGGGCCATGGCAGGAACCCTGTTCAACGTGCTCTTCAACCTGAACAAGTTCGTGCAATTCGAGACCCGGGATCCATTCTCTGCGCGGCAGGTGTGGGACTGGGGGCGGGGTGGTGGGTGAGGGCCACGCTCGGTCTGTTGCAAACGTGGTAGTCTGGGTGGTAGCTATGTCAAGCCCGGCTGCTGACACCCCAGGGATGCATCCTGCCGGTCAGCTCCGATCCCGCCTGCGGCGCTGCCTGGCTGCCGTGCTCCACCCTGTCCTGAATGGGTGCCTGTGTGCTTTATCCTTATCGCCTGCACCCTTCCCCAACCCCTCCTACTCAAGGAACGGGAGGAGATTGGGGTCACGGAGTGGGACCGGTTTGCGCGGCAAGAGTACCAGCGGCTCGCGGACGACGACGGCGAGGTGGAGGCAGTGGACGCGGGGGGAAACACTTGGGGCGCCTCCGCGCTGGAGGTGGACCTCTGAGCTACGGCCGGCGCAGGCAGGCCCACCGCAACTTAGTCATCACTTAGATCAGCGCAGCATCCCTTTGCTGACCCTTCAACCCCCGTCCATGCGAGCCTTGGCGAGATAAAACGCCCTTCTTGATGGCTCGAGTTGTAACAGGGGCAGCATACATCGAGAGAGCGAGGTGGTCGGGGAAGGGGGGAACGAGAGGGGGGTTCCGACAGTGATGACGAATCCAGCGAAATCACAAAGGTGCCCGGCACCAGATCAGCGGGACTAACCCCGCAAATCCATCGTCCTCGATGCGCGGATGATTGTTCAGGGTGTTAGGTGCCAATAGATCAACGTTCACTGCCATTAGGGCCACGAGGCTCCTGCTCAGGTGGGGGATGGCCAAGCGGCTCAGTGTCCGGGACCCGGTCCCCAGCGACATTGACATCGCACAGTCCCTGGATCCCCTGCCAATCACGGAGATTGCACAGTCGCTGGGCCTGGATGACGACGACTTCATCACCTACGGCCCCACCAAGGCCAAGGTACCCATGTGGCCCTCCTGTGGCTGGCTTGATGGTGGCTCATCTGCTGGATGGGATCTGAGAATCAAACTGCCTTGCCGCCCAACGCTCACGCACCCTGCCACACTGCCCTCGCACACGTGTGATCAGGTCAAGCTCGAGGTGCTGGAGAAGCACCGTGACACCCCCAATGGCAACTATGGTGAGGAGGCTTTGGAGGTAGAGTGCTGGCATGGGGGGCTGGGCCCGAGCTCTGGGCCTTGGCAACCCCCTCCACAGTGCAGGCTGCTTTCAGATGTGAGGCTACTATTGTCCCGAGCGGTGCCAGGGGTGCGAAGGCCACTGCGGGTTGGTCCAGCCGCCGAGCGTCACACACGGCCTCCACTGCCGACCGGTGGCACCTCGTCACTCCCACCCATGCACACACAAACACCCCACTCCCCTGCAGTCATCGTGGCGGGGATCACCCCAACCCCCTTGGGGGAGGGCAAGTCCACAACCACCGTGGGCCTGTGCCAGGCGCTGGGCGCATATCTAGGAAAGCGCGCCGTCACCTGCGTGCGGCAGCCGAGCCAGGGCCCGACCTTTGGCATCAAGGGGGGCGCGGCGGGGGGCGGCTACTCCCAGATCATCCCCATGGAGGCATGTGGGGTTGAAGGGGGGGAGGGGGTGGATAAGGCCGGCGGGAGGGGTTCCGAGCCCTCCTTTCCACCTGGGGGCTGCCGCGCAGGCCTCCATGTACGCTGGGGCTCTGACCTAGGAGAGCCGCCTGGCATGGCAGGGAGTTTCCGGCTCGCGTCGTGCGCCTCAGGCCCTCACTGAAAACCTCAGGCCCATGGCGGACCTCTCTCAAAGGCCCCACCATTACCTTACCTCCGCCCCTTCCTCCCGCTCCCCCCCCCCCCACTCCCCCCACCCCCCTGCATGCACACACACACACAGGAGTTCAACCTGCACCTGACCGGGGACATCCACGCCATCACCGCCGCGACCAACCTGATGGCAGCGGCCATCGAGGCCCGCGCCTTCCACGAGGCCACGCAGTCTGACGCCGCGCTGTTCGGCCGGCTATGCCCCGCCGGCCGCGACGGTGCGCGCCGCTTCGCGCCCATCATGCGCCGCCGCCTGGCCAAGCTGGGGCTGGAGGGCGCGGCCGACCCCGACGCGTTGTCCGAGGAGGATCGGCGCCGCTTCGCGCGCCTGGACATCGACCCCGCCACCATCACCTGGCGCCGCGTGCTGGACACCAACGACCGCTTCCTGCGTGGCGTGACCCTGGGCCGGGGGCCCAAGGAGGCTGGGCACGAGCGCGAGTCCGGCTTTGACATCGCCGTGGCCTCGGAGATCATGGCGGTGCTGGCCCTGGCGGGGTCCCTGCCGGACTTCAGGGAGAGGCTGGGGGCCATGGTGTTTGCCTCCAGCAAGGCCGGTGAGGGGGGAAGGGGGGGGGAGGGGGGTGGGTGGCTTACTGTCTGCGCCGGCGGCGGCTGGGAAGGGAAACTCGTGAGGGGGAAGCAGAGGATGGGTGCAGGATGCGACAGCCTTGTGGGGAGTGGGGATGCCTTGGGCCAGAGGGGTTTCGGTCGCCTCTCTGAGCAGGCATGTTTGAGCCCATGAAGCATGGGCGGTGGCCCTGGGACTTGGTTCTCCAACAACGGGCGGAGGCGACTGCTGACGGCCCCAGACCGGCTTCCATTTGTTTGCTGACCCTCTAGGCATTCTCGCACCCTCACCTGCCTCCAAACACCTCGCCCCATTCTCCGCCAGGCGAGCCCCTGACGGCGGACGACCTGGGCGTGAGCGGCGCTCTGGCCGTGCTCCTCAAGGACGCCATCCTGCCCACCCTGATGCAGGCGAGATTCCTCTGTTTTTATCAGGAGGGTGAGGGGTGGAAAGAAGGGCGGGGCCGCACACCGGACTGCTCGCTGGAGGAGTCCATTGCGCAACTTGTCGGGCGAGGCTCGACTGTCCTGCCTGTCGATCCTATGGACAGCGTGTCTTTGTGTGCCGGTCACCCTCTGGACCCCGGCGAGCCTCTGGGGGGGGGCGGGCCACGACGAGGCGTGGCACCTTCCACCCAACCCCGCCCCTTGCAAAGCCCGTCCCAACACCACCCGCCCCTTCTCAGACCCTGGAGGCGACCCCCGTCCTGGTGCATGCGGGGCCCTTTGCCAACATTGCGCACGGCAACAGCTCGGTGATCGCCGACCGGCTGGCACTGAAGCTGGTGGGGCCGGAGGGGTACGTCGTCACGGAGGTAAGGGTTGGCATGGTGGGGTGTTTAAGAGGAGGGGGAAGGGAGTTTGAGCCCCGGGTGCAGCGCCAGAAGCTGCAGGTTTGCACTGTGAGCGGGGCGTGAAGCAGCCCAAACCCTTTCAGGGGCTGGGCCCCCGCAGGCGCTGCTTCCCCCAGCCTGTAGTACCTCCTTGTTGGAGTCCCCCCCACCTCACCGCTGCGGACAACCCCCGACCCCAATCCGCCACCAATCCATTTCTCGGGTCCACCCACTCCTCCACCCACACCTCTCTCCATAACCCTCCCCTCTCCCCCCATCAAAAGGCCGGGTTCGGCGCCGACATCGGGCTGGAGAAGTTCATGAACATCAAGTGCCGCGCCAGCGGGCTCACCCCCTCCGCCGTGGTCCTGGTCGCCACGGTGCGCGCGCTGAAGATGCACGGCGGCGGCCCCGCGGTCACCGCCGGCCGCCCGCTGGCCCCCGCCTACACCAGCGAGGACGTGGCGCTGACGCGCGCGGGGTGCGCCAACCTGGCGCGCCACGTGGCCAATGCCGCCGCCTACGGCCTGCCCGTGCTGGTGGCCATAAACCGGTTTGCCACCGACACCGACGCCGAGCTGGAGGCGGTGCGGGAGGAGGCGCTGGCCGCCGGCGCGCGTGCGGCGGTGGTCTGCCGCCACCACGCGCTGGGAGGGGAGGGCGCGGTGGACCTCGCCCAGGCCGTGGTGGAGGCCTGCGCCGCGCCGCGGCCGGAGTTCAGGTTCCTCTACCCACCAGAGATGCCCATCGAGGTGGGGAGGGTGTGCTTGGGTGGGGTGGACGGGGGGGACTTTTTCAAGAGTGTGGCGACATGCATCTCAAGGGCAGTGAGTTCTGCGGCCTGCTGCATAGGCAGGGCTCGCGAGCAGGACAAGTGGCGTGCGACTTCATTGACGCTCTCCAGTGAAGACGCGTGTGTGCCTGCTCACGGACGAGTGATCCCGCCCATTCCCGTGCCCCCCCCTGCGCAGGAGAAAATCCGTACCATTGCGGTGAAGACCTATGGCGCGGCGTCGGTCAGCTTCACGCCAGAGGCGCTGGCCTCCATCGCTCGCTTCACCGAGCAAGGATTCGGCAACCTGCCCGTCTGCATGGCCAAGACGCAGTACTCCTTCAGGTGGGGCCGAGAAAGGACGAAAAGGGGGGGCGGAAAGGAGGGCATACAGCAGATGTGCGCTGGCGCATGGAGGCTTGTGCAATGACAGGCCGGAGGCCCGTGCTGCCAGCCCGGATGCAGCTGGGATCAAGTCTGGATAGGAGCCGCCGTGCACAATTCTCCCTTCCCATCCGGCCCTTTGCCCCCTTTCCAGCAACGACCCTGCCGCCAAGGGGGCACCTACCGGATTTGACCTGCGGGTGCGGGAGGTGAGGGCCAGCGCGGGCGCCGGCTTCATCGTCCCGGTCTGCGGGGACATGATGATGATGCCGGGCCTGCCCACCCGCCCCGCCTTCTTTGAGATCGACCTGGACACGGCCACTGGGCGCGTGCTGGGGCTGTCCTGAGCGGCAGGCAGACACGGGGCGGTCGGGACACTGCGTGCTCCATCTTGGAGCGTTGCCAGGGTCCCGTAATAAAGTACTGCCCTCTCGACCTGCTCAGCATGCATGATGTCTTGATGATACGTAAGAAGGTATGCTCTGGTGATAAAAGCATCTGGGAGCGCCCCGTGTGTCACACTCAGATCCTCGTCGTGCCCAGCATGGCAAGGGCGCGGCTCGCTGATTGATTCCGGATCCGCGATCTGCATCAGTATACGCACAAGAAACCACTGCATCGCTCGTCTTGCAATGTCTCTAAGCTAGATCATGTACTGCATCTCGAAGCCGCAATGGCGTGGAGGTCTGCCTTCACACTCCTGCGTCGGGGGCAGGGCCCCTTGTGCCGGAAGCTCAGCACCGATGCTCCTGCGGGGACCCACCTCGCTGTAGAGTACTGGTGGGTGCCGGGCGCGGCTTGCAGGGCACCATCTCAACTTGATCAGTATGCTATACATTCTGCAATCGGGGCCCTTTCAACCAAGCAAGAATCACAACAACATTCCCGCCCTCCCTGCAGCGTCCTATGTGACTACCAACCTCGATTCGACATCCTGAAGAAGGTTGTGCGCGCAGCCTTCCCCAAGCTCCCAGTATTTGCGGACACTGAGGTATGCAGGGGGTGCATGAGTGGTTCCCCTGCATGGCTGCTGTCCCTCAGAACATGTACTGCAGATGATGAATGTGGCCTGCAACCACTGCGACACACTCAGCAACTCGGCCTTTCTCAGGATCACAGACCGGGCTCCTTTGAGGTCATCCTGCACCACAAGGACGAGGAGTTTGAAATCTGGTCCAAGCTGTTGACAGGTGGGGGGGTGCTGGAGGCATGGGTCTGGCCATGTGCAATACTGAGTGTGCAGAATGGCACTATACATGCCGGACATCCAAGGGATGGCCCCTGTGACTCACCCTATTTTATGATCCTCGCTGGTCTCCAGGGGAGCCTGCCGACGAGATGGCAGCGCACAGCGTCGCGGAGTTGGTGGTGGATGAGATACGGCGGGCCAAACTGTGCCTGTGAGTCGTTGCCAGCCGACGCTGGCAACCCGGGCCTTCTGACCAGTAACATCGGAACCCGCATGGCATTCTCCATCGTCGATGGAATGCCGTCCAGGGTTGCAGGGCTTTCACCACAGGGCTTGAACCTGCACATGTCAATGAGCGGGCCCTCAAGCTGAGGTACTATCTACTCACCACCATGCCGATAGTCTAGGGCATCGACTCAATGAGTGGCTGGGGCGTAAGAATATGTACATTTACAGCGCTAGCGCATCCCCGGCTTCTGACCCTTCTATCCGTCTCAATCCCTCCTCACACAGAATGAGCTCACAAGGGTATCCGCCCCTCGTTTCCCTCTTTTCCTGCTCCTCTGCGTGACTCGTGACTGCGCTTGGCAATCGTCTGGCTAACTTCATTATGACCCAACCCAGAGTGTGCTTGTGTTAAACCACAATTCTCAGGCTTTGCACGGTGAAGTAGTGAATTGCCACCCTCAGTGACAACCCCAGGCTTGCTTTCAGGTAGAGTGTCGCCTGGATGAATATTTGTGGGCCTTCTGCGCATAACATTTCCCAACGTTGAAGATACTCTCTTATCCGATACAGAATTCGGGTGCAAGAATAGGACCCCAAAATTCACAATTTCTGTAAGGTCGGCTGCCACATATTCGAACCCCAACTCTTTAAAGCGGAAAGGTCAGGAATGAATTTTGACAAGTAATGAATATTAAAATGTCGGAACTGCGTCGGGACATGTTGTCGACGCATATGAGCTGCACTGGCACGGTCCCAGATCACCCTTGATCCGGCCGCGGGTCCGCGCCGCTCCCGTTCCGTGCATGTATTGAGAGCCCTTTGTGTCTTCCCCACTAGACCCCAAAATCGTTTGACACAATTATCTCTATAACATTGTTCGGCGCCCTCGTAGTCAGAGTGCGGGGATATCAATAATGTCGGGCATCCGCAGTGCCCTGACGTCTGCCCTCACGGGAGTGGCGCAGACGTTCAAGCCCAAGGTCGCTGCCGACAGCGAGGCGTTCCCTTGCCTGGATGTGGATACTGTGACCAGTGAGATGGAGTCGATGGCCATCAACGCTGCCAGGATCCCGAGCAGCGCCCCAACGCATGTCGGGGCGGACCAGGTGAGCCCTCGGGAGCTAACCCTGGCCGTCGGGAGGGGCCCCGGCCTGGTCGCCGACACACCGTTCCCAATCACAATCCCCCCAAATACCCATGTGTAGGTCGAGTACACCCTCAGTCCCTACGGTCGGCGCTCCGGGACGGAAGCAGTGCCGTCTTCGCTGGTGGGTCCCACTGTCCTCGGTGCAGCGTGGCGGGGTGGGGGGTGCCGTCCCTGTGGCGCGCAAGGTGGTCCCAGCCACCTCCATTCACCCTCGTCAGCCCCTCCCTTCTTCACGCCGCAGAGCAAGAACAGCGTGAAGTCTAATTTTCTGACCCAGGACGTCATCGGCAGCCTGCCCAAGGGCCTGACCAGGACGGAGAAGGAGGCCGTGGCAGCAAGCACCCCGCTGTCCCCCTCCCTCAACCTCCTCAACTCCCTGCCCAAGGGCCAGGTCTTCAAGCGCTCCGCCGCGGGGGTGGCCCTGCGCCGCAGCGTCCTGCGTGGCTCCGTCATCGTCTTCATTACCGCCGGATACACTGGTGCGGGACAGGGTGCAGGAGTATCAAGGAATTGGGAATGGACTGCTGCAAGCTTGTTTTTCACGCCAGTGCGGGGAGCCCAGGCAGAGGTTTTATGTCGTGTACTGGTGCCGCTTGCATGCTTATCCCAAGGCCCCAACTGCGAAACATGCTGGCTGCTGGCAGGGCGTGCCATTCACACCAGTCTCTGAGGAGTGTCAGGGAAGCTCTCCGGTACTCATTCAGGCATGACACTCCCCCCCTATTCCCCCTGCCCTCCCAGGCAAACGCTTCATCTTCGAGCGTGCCAAGGAGCTGGGCGTGCGCAGCCTGGTGGTCGACGGGCCAGACTCCTGGGCCAAGGTAGGCTCGTCTGCTGATGTCTTGATCTGCAGTTGCCTGGTGGGGGCCTGAAGAGGACATTGCATGGGGCCTAGCTCTCCATATCAGATGAAGAGTGTTGGCATGCCCATAGTTAAAGTGGTGGAGTCCTGCTGACTCCGTGCCTTCCCTCCACGCCCCACCGTAGACCATGGAGGAGGAGGGCGTGATCGAGAGGTTCATCCCCCTGGACATGTCTGACTCAGACACGGTACTGGACCGAGCCCTGGAGGCCATCCTGGCTGCCAAGAAGGTAAGGGAGGTCCACCGAAAGGGAACAGGGTAGGGAGGCGGGTAGGGAGGGCTCTGACAGGCTGTTGGGTGTTTAATTTTTGGGTGAGGGAAGCTCTGAGACTGGTTGGAACACACCATAATTTCACCACTCATCCATTACCTCAACCTCACCCACCCATCAGCAATGCTAGTCCGGAAATCACACCCTCACTACACCCTCTCACATCTTTGGTAGGCCGTGGGCGGCGACCTGGACGGCGTGCTTTCCTTCTCCGAAATGGCCCAGCCCCTGGTGGCGCGCCTGGCCGAGAAGCTGGGCCTGCAGGGCCCCAGCCCAGAGGTGGTGGACGCCGCGCGAGACAAGTTCGCCACGCGCAAGTGCATGGAGGCCGCTGGCCTGCCCACGCCCCGCAACATCCTGATCGAGAAGGCCGAGGACATTGAGAAGGTGGGTAGGAGGGGGGGGGGGGGGGGGGAGGGCGATCGCTCAATGATGGGCAGTGGGCGGGATGTCACTGGGTGGCTGCTGCCTCGGTCGGATCTGGCCCCATGTTCTGCTGCCATGGGAGCCTGACCCTGTGCCTCCCTTGGACTTCTCACTTCCTCCCCAAATGGAAGCCGCCACACCATGCCCTCTCTGAAGCCCTGCAGACCCTCAGCCATCCCACAACATTCCCTGCCCCTCACTCCCTCGCAGGCCGCCGAGCACGTGGGCTTCCCTGCAGTCATCAAGCCCATCTTCGGCGCCGCCTCCATCGGCGTTGTGCGCGTGGACGACCTGGCAGGCCTGCGCGCCAAGCACGCGGAGGTGTGCCGCCAGATGTCCAGCGCGCGCGTCGTGGACGGCGCGCTGCTGGAGGGCGACGGCGAGGAGGAAGGCGGGAACGCGGGGGGCTGGATCCAGACCACGCTGATGATGGAGGAGTACATGGACGGCCCCGAGGTGGACGTGGACGTGGTGATGAGCGAGGGGCAGGCCGTGTACGGCGCGGTCACCGACAACTGGCCCACGCTGGAGCCGTACTTCAACGAGACGGGGGCCAACTCGCCATCCATCCTGCCCAGCGCGCAGCAGCGCGAGCTGCTGGAGCTCAGCGTGAAGAGCGTGCAGGCGCTGGGCTTCAGCGCGGGCGTGTTCCACGTGGAGTGCAAGTACACCTCCCGCGGCGCGCGCCTGATCGAGGTCAACTGCCGCATGGGCGGGGGCCTGGTGCGCAACACCAACCTCCTGGTCTGGGGCGTGGACCTGGTGGAGGAGGCGCTGCTGGCTGCCGCGGGCATCCCCTCCCGCCCCAACGTCGCGTCGCGCCCCCTGCGCTGCCTCGGCGAGTACCTGGTGAACGCACCCAAGACCGGCGTGCTGGGCGACCTCGGCTTCCTGCGCGAGTTTGCCGAGCGCAAGGGCGTCCTGCTGGCCAAGCCCTGCGTCGCGCCGGGGTCAAAGGTGGTGTGCGTGGCTGACGGCATGCCCACCTGGCTGGTGGAGCTGCAGGTGGAGGCAGACACGCCGCGCGCCGCCGTGGCCCTGGCCGAGGCGCTGAGCAAGGAGATCACGGAGCGCATCCCCATCCACTGAGGTGGCCCCACCCCCGCGGGCACGGCGTTCGAGCTGACTTCGACAGAGGAGGGGCACACCACGTAGCGCGAGGTCACGACCAAGTTATCCCTCCGCGTCACGCACGATCCCCTCCCCCAACCCTCCTTTTCTCTTCCCCTCCCCTAGATTATCTCCATACCACCTTGAACAGAAAAACCCTTTCCTGCGCACCCCCTTTTTCGACGCTGACACTCCCGCGCTTGTAGCCACTCACTCGCTTGAGTGTTTCAACCCGAGAACCCGCACTCCCATGTCACCACTTTGACTTGCGCAGATTTGTTAGCCAGCAATAAAGGAGATCTGGGGTTGAGAGATCCCAACACAGGAAATGCCCATGCACGCCATGGTGCCCGACGGGCTGTGATCGGGAGGCCACAAAAAATAACAAATCAAAGAGTGCACTGAGCTGGTCAAGGGGTAGAGGGGTGGGTGGATCGCCAGGTCTCGTGGATCATGCTCCACGTGCGAGCAAAATGGGCTCTATGCCGCGGCGGCCTTCCCCCGCAGCTGGTCACGGCGCGTGGCCAGGGCGCGGGCTCCAAGTCGCAACGTGAAGCCCACTGCGGGCTGTTCATCGTCAAAGTATAGCGCGTGATCTCAATTGGGTATTCCCCTTCCTGTCACGACTTGCCCACCATGTCGGGAATCAAGTCCGCACTGACTGCAGCACTGTCGGGGTCCCCCGCCAAGCCGGCACAGGCTCGGACCGCCGGCAAGGTGGACTCCGAGTCCTTCCCATGCATCTCCGAGGGTGCCCCGCTCTCCCCAGAGCAGGCCGCGGAGGGTTTGGCAGCCCTCGACATCAACCGGGCGACCCTGCCCAGTAACGCTCCCACCCTGTCGCGCAGCCTGGACGCCTCCAGGACCGTGGTGCGTGTGGTGGGATGATTGTGGACCTTGGGTGCGATGCTCGGCGCCCAGCGCGGGGTGGCAGTGGGGGTGGTTGGTGGCGAAGACCTAGCCCTCTCGGTGCAGTGCCCCCCTCAGCCCGCGTCATGGCCGGTTGGGGGGGAGCCCCTCTCCCGTCCGACCCCCGAACCTCGACCCCTCCCTTCATGCGCCGAACCACAGGTGGATTATGACCTGAACCCTTACAACCCTCGTGGCGGGCGCGAGGTGGTGCCCACCTCCCTGGTAGGTGACTGCTTGCATTACGAGATGCCTGAGGGTCCATGTAAAGTGCGTCTTGCCATAAGCGCATTAACCCCTGCCCACGCCATGGCCCCCCTCACTCTTCCCCCCCCCCTTTCCCCCCTTTTCCTCAGAAATCCTCGAGCATCAAGTCCAACTTCCTGACCGAGGCCGTGATCGGGTCCCTGCCACGGGGCCTCTCGCACTCGGAGCGTGAGTTCATCGTGGCCAACACGCCGCTGTCTCCCTCCCTCAACCTGCTCAGCTCCCTACCCAGGGACCAGGTATCTGCCAGGTCCGTGGAGGGGCGCACCCTGCGCCGCCACGTACTGCGCGGCGCCGTCATCGTCTTCATCACCGCCGGATACTCGGGTGGGCGTTGGCGGTGTTGGTGGTGGGCGAATTCAAAGTGAGACTCCATTGCATGGGTGGACCGACGGGGTGGCAGACTCCCATCGGAACCCTTTTTGAGGGTCACTTTTGCATTCGGCTGTGGTCTGGAAACTGGCAGTACCTCTCCTGCTGGTCAGGATCCCTCCTTGCCAGCACGAATGACGCATGTCTGCCGCCCCGAGCTTTTCGCCACCGACTGAATCTCACCTGGGCAAACATCACAGGTCAAGATGCCTCATCCATCCTCCCATCCAGGCAAACGCTTCATCTTTGAGAAGGCCAAGGAGCTGGGCGTGCGCAGCGTGCTCATCGACGGCCCCGACTCCTGGAGCCAGGAGGGTTGGGCGGAGTGGTTTCATGACAGCCCTGGCACCAGTGGTGGCCACGGCAGGCCTGGGATGGACTTGGATGAAGACGCTGCTGCGTGATGTGAGCTCGATCATTCGCTCTGTCAATGGCTACATCTGCCTGATTCCTGCTATCCCCCTGCTCCTCCTCATACCCTCGTGAGCTCCCCCCCCCACACCACAGGAGCTGGAGACCAATGGCATCGTCGAGCGCTTCATTGGACTGGACATGACCGATGCCGACTCGGTCTTTGACCGCGCCCTGGCGGCCATTGAGAAGGTCAAGAAGGTGAGCATTCTTGATGTGGCCAGGGTTGGGGAAGTGCTGACGGCCTGGCACGGCGTGGAGGTCATGCCTTTCTTTCTAGATGCAGACTGCAGTGCAATGGTCGGCGCTGCAGCAGGAGGCTCATGGAACCTGCCATTTCCCCTGATACAATGGGATGGCATCCCATCACCATCCTCCCCCCCCTTCCCCCCTCCTCCTCAAAAGGATTTTGGCGAGCTGGACGGCGTGGTGTCCTTCTCGGAGATGGCCCAGCCGCTGGTGGCGCGGCTGATCGAGAAGCTGGGCCTGCCCGGCAACTCCAGCGCAGCGGTGGACTCCGCACGCGACAAGCACGCCACCCGCCGCTGCATGTCCGAGGCGGGGCTGCCGACGCCGCGCAACTTCCTGATCACGCGCGAGGACGAGCTGGACGCCGCTTCCCAGCTGGTGGGCTACCCTGCGGTCATCAAGCCCATCCACGGCGCGGCCTCGCTCGGCGTTGTGCGCGTGGACGACCACGAGGCGCTCCTGCGCGCCTACGCGCGCGTGCGGCGCGAGATGGGCTCCGTGCGCGTGCACTCGGGGATCGTGGAGCAGATGGCGTCGGACGACGAGGGGGAGGGCAACTTCACCACCACGCTGATGATGGAGGAGTACCTGGACGGCCCGGAGGTGGACGTGGACGTGGTGTTCAGCGAGGGGCAGGCCGTGTACGGCGCGGTCACCGACAACTGGCCCACGCTGGAGCCGTACTTCAACGAGACCGGGTCCAACTCGCCCTCCATCCTGCCCAGCGCGCAGCAGCGCGAGCTGCTGGAGCTGGGCGTGGCATCGGTCAAGGCCCTGGGCTTCGACATGGGCGTGTTCCACGTGGAGTGCAAGTACACCTCGCGCGGCCCGCGCCTGATCGAGGTCAACTGCCGCATGGGCGGGGGCCCCGTGCGGAACATGAACCTCCTGGTCTGGGGCGTGGACCTGGTGGAGGAGCAGCTGCTGCTGGCCGCGGGCATCCCTTCCCGGCCCCCCGTCGCGCCCGCGCCCCTCACCCACCTCGCCGAGTTCTCGGTGAACGCGCAGCGCTCGGGCGTGCTCGCCGACGTCAGCTTCCTGGACAAGTACGACGTAATGAAGGACGTGCTGTACGTGCGGCCGCTGGTGGAGGCGGGGGCCAAGGTCACCTGCGTGGAGGATGGCATGCCCACTTGGGTGTGCGAGATCATGGTGCAGCACCCGACCTCCACCCAGGCCGCCATCGACTACGTCAACCAGATCGAGGCCGCCATCCAGAAGGAGATGCCCATCGAGGCACGCAAGGCCAAGTGAACGAAAACGGCATGCGCGGGGAGGGGGAAGCTCACTCTGGCGTCGGCCAGAGAGGGCGCCGAGGCGCCCTTGCCTGGACGAATGTCCCCCGTCGACCAGCCTGTCGGTGGGCACCCCCCACATCCCATGGTGTCATGCGTCTCACCCCCGGCCCAGCTTTCCATACCAGTCGTGCTTTGCGCCCTCGTCCCTGCACACACCCCGTATCCTCGGCATTCGAGGGCCACCCAGCCAGTCTCCTGCGCCGGGCGGGCGCCGATCCAAACAATCGGTCTAAGGGTTCTTCCGCTCGATTCAGATCACCCCCCCTGTAACATTCCTGCACTCGCAACAAGGAATTCACCGGGGAGGGGCAAGCACGGGCAGGTGCAGGGCGCTTGTGAGGATCGGGAAGTAGGAGGCATGGACTTCTTTTCCTTCACCGCCCACAATACGCTAGGCAAAGGCCGCCAGGTTGCGGTAGGCCGTCACCAGGCGGTGAAAGGCGTCGGCGGCCCCAGGCGCAGAGCTCTTGTCCGGGTGGAGCGACACCGCCATCTGGCGGTACCTCTTGCGCAGGACCGCAGCATTGGCACCAGGTGGCAGCTGGGAGTGGAGGGCGAGCGGTGTGGAAATTGGGAAACCATTGTCAAGCGGGGGGATTGTAACCAGCAGGCTGGTGTTGGGACGAGTCGTGTGCTGGAAGACGCAGGGTCGAGCCTCGTGCAACCCTCTGCTCCCCAAGCACATGCGCCCCCACCAAGCTGCCCCCAAGCAGTACCTGGAGCACAGCATGATCTGATGCTGCCTGCAGGACACGCCGGACCTCGGCCTCGTCGGCAAAGGTGAGGCTAGGCGCTGATGCCCTTTGTGCGGCGAGATCGGCATCGGCCTGTTTTCGAGCCTCCTCGTACACCTGTATGGGTAGGGGCAAGCGGGGGAGTGTAACGCCCCAGATGGCACCTACGTTGGGAATCCAAGGGGGCGCCAGGACCGTCACACACGGCCAGACAAGGTGCTGCACTACCCGAATGCTGATCAGGGGCACTCCCGGGATGGCGTCCGGGTACCCACAGGCAGACCTCACCTTGGCAAAGCCAGACTCCAGGCGTCGCCGGCGCTGGGCGAGCAGGGCTGCATCCCTGTCCTGACACGCTCTTGTTGTGTCCTGCGCCTGGCGGCGGCTCTGCTCCGCTGCCGCGACCGCCGCTTTGAGCTTCTCCATTTCCCGCAGCACGTCCGCGGCAGACTTTTGGGGAGCCTGGGGCGCGGTCGGCTGCGGTGGCCTGGGCCGTGCCCGAGACCTGTTGGGTCCATGGGCGGGTGCGGGCTGGGGGGCTGCGCTGGAAGGCCTGGGCGGCTGCTGAGGCCCGGCTGCCGGATGGCCTGCCTCCGTCTTCTTCTCGACATACAACCCGTCTGGCTCAGCGGCGTCGGAGGTATTCCCGGCGTCCCGGTTCCAGGTGAGCTTGGCGCGTTTTGGGGGTGGAGGGGCTGGGGATTTAGCTGTGCCTGCCACGTACGTCTTCCCTCCAGTCGACTTGGAGGTGTCCCTCACCCAGACATGGGCTCCCATTGTGAGAAGACTCCAAATAGCCAAAGTGTGTCCAAGCTAGCGGCCTCGTGGGAGTCTACTTGGAGCTCCTCGGGTGTCGGGGAGCCCCGGGGGCTGTCAGGCTCGGTTCCGATATCATCAATGGTGGGCAGACGCAGTCCTGATACTTTGCGCTAAGATACAATATGAGTATAGTGTTTGCCCAGTACCAAGACTCCGGAGAGAGGGAGCACCTCGCCAGAACTCCGATCACAGTACTCAGATCACAATGAGGGCGCGGGCGCGCCCTGTTCACACTTTTGCCAAGACGAAATCTATCGCGGTGGGGTGTGCACCGGGACCTTTGGACCTAGCATCACAATGAGTTGGATCTTAACTGGAGCATACAAGGCGACCGATCTTGCGTCATCGATCCCGAGCTCTGGCTGACAAGGTAAGAATGACCCCTCGCTCCCTGTTTGGACCGGGCGTGGGCCCACGAACCAATCGCGACGCGAGCACTTGCATGAGAGGACGACGGAATAAAATCGTGACTCGGACTTGAGTAAGTAAGGATCACATCCACTAGCAGGGCAGACCTTACTTCCCTCTTAGGACGCTTGTGGGCATTGTCTTCACCTCCAGATCTTGCAGCTCCTCGTATATCAAACATGGGCAACATCTTTGGAGGCGACAAGAAGAGGTAGTGGGGACAGGTTGTGTTGAAAGGCGTCATTGTGGGTATGTAGTTGCCCATCTCTAAACCCCGGCCCTCTAACCTCCCTGTGACAGGGAGATCACTGATGTCGACAGGGCAATCTTGTCCCTCAAGACTCAGCGGCGCAAGCTTGATGACCAGCGGAAGAGGGTGAGTGGCATGAGGCGAAGGCACATCGCGCTTTACCACCTCAGGATTATGGGTGATGCACCCTTGGGCCAGATGACTGGTTGAGATCGCCATGGAATGAGGGATGTAGCCAACTTTACTGGACTCCTTCCGACTTGCAGACAGACACACTAATAGAGAGGGAGGCAGTGGTGGCAAGGACACTTGTGGCTCAAGGAAAGCGGGACCGAGCCCTCTTGGCGCTCCGCAAGAAACGATTGCATGGTCAGCAGCTGGAATTTTTGGACAAGCTCGTGCTCAATGTGGAGGAAACGGTGAGGGACTGGCGGGGCTGATGGGTGATTGGAATCTTATTGACAGGTTTAAGAGCAGGTCTATGCCATGTAATCTGGAGTGTGATCCGTCGTTTGGTGCCCAGTCTCGCGTCCCAAGTTGTATCCTATTCTTCACACTCATTCTTCCAGTTGGCGAATGTCGAGGGGGCAGCTAGGCAGAAACGACTTTTCGACACACTGAAGCAAGGCGCCGCTGCCCTCAAACAGCTCCAAAAGGTGGGGGGGTCGGATAGGCTTTGATGTTGCCTGGTTATGGGCATACCAATTTGCAAAGACCCCATCCCATGTTCACCCAGATTGCTGTGTCACACAAGGACCCCTGAATCAACTGGTGCTGCCTTCTCTGCTGCAGGATGTTTCCCTGGAGGATGTGGAGCAGCTCATGTCCGACACCGCAGAAGCCAAGGAGTATGAGACGAGGGTCCAATCTATGTTTGGTATGTCACAGGGCTCTTTGCTCCCGGGTTTTGGGGGGGAGGGGGGGGGAGAGTCCCGCAAAAATAAAGTCTACATTTGCATGACCGATGGGAAGGTGGGTGGTCTTGCTGGTCCTTTGCATCATCCTCATGCCCCCTACCATCCCTGTGGTCTCATCTCAGGGGAGAGCTGGACCGGGGTGGATGAGGAGGCGGCGCACGCAGAGCTGGCAGAGATGGAGGCGCAGCTGCTGGACGAGGAGGTGCTGGACCTACCCAGCGTCCCCCAGACAAAAGTTGCTGACGCGGCTGCAGTGCCAGGGCCGCCTGCCCAGGTGGAGGCCCTCGCCGCGACGCCCAGGGAGGATCGGCCCGAGGAGCCCCTCCCTGCCTGAACTACCCGACATCAGTTGTCAGTGTGCATGCCAGAGCCTCAGGATCCTGATGCCTTTTCATGTCCTGGATTGTCAGGACAAGGCAGAGCATGCCCTGTGTAGGTTGTACCCACTGTAACAAGCAGCATGTGTTGTACAACGGTCGTTATGCAGCCCCCAAGTCAAATATACAGGGAGGCAGCAAACATGATGTCTCGTCGGATGGTGTCCCGCGACTCGGCGATCTTGGCGGCCAGTCCTGCGTCGCCCACCGCCAGCGCGGCCCGCTCCAGCTCGCTCATCAGCTCATCCAGCCGCCTCGTTGCCCTGTCCGGGATGGTTGATTGTGAGCCATAATTATACTCGGGAGTGGCTCAGGATGGATATGTAGGAGATGCCTGGTGCCCACCATTGCAGTGCCAGCACGCTTGAAGTAGTAGATACATCTCCTTATGGTAAGGAAATTCCATTCCCCTACAGCGCAATCATCTCGAAGGGCTCATTCCACACCAGGCAACGGTCAGTCATCAAATGGCACGCACAGCTACTCCCAGTGTCCAAGGAGGATCCCCACTCAGATCCCCACAACACGAGACACCCAAAGACATCCCCGCCCCCACAGACACACCACCACACACCCACCTGACGATGCTGCCCTCAAACAGGTCTGTCATCTCGCAGATCTCAGCAAAGGATGCGCCCTTGGACCAGGCGTAGATAACGTCCATGAGGAAGGGCCAAAATGACTCCACGTACTCGTCCACCTTCACCTCCAGCCTGCACTCCACCGACACCTCGGCAATGCGCCGCGCGGCGTCTTGCAGCGCCTGCAGCGGCCGCGCCAGGCTCTCCTTCAGCCGGATCTGCTCGTTGCTCTTCTCCACCTGCACCAGGCAGGACACCATGGCCACCAGCTGGTGCCGATCCAGGGCATTGAAGGTGCCGTTCAGCATCAGTTCCGTTGCCAGCAGCTCATCGGCGGTGTTGATCTCACAGGCCACGCGCCCCTTGAGCGTCACCACTCCCTCCCCGTCCACATAGCCCAGCTTGCGCAGGACCGCGCCGCGGTGACGCGCTTCGTCCCGGAAGCTGGTCAGCTGTGAGGCTCGCATGCGTGCCGCCAGCGACTCGGCCTCAGCCATCAGCCGCGCCTTCTCGCGCAGGGGAGCCATCAGCGAGGCCTCGCCCTCCCCGCGCTCCGCCTGTGTGGCGGGTGAAGGGGGTTTGGATGCGTCCTTGCGCTGAATTCTAGGAGGGCAGAGGTGTGAACTGGGCTGGCTTTCATCGACGGTAGACATCGGGATCGGGGTGGCACGCAGGAGAACGTCACGTGCCACATATGCGACAAGCACGCAACAAACCATTCCAGACCCCACCCAATCGATCAACTTCCCACATGCGACGCCACCGCCCACCCAGCTCACCTTAGAGATGGGGTTGGCCGTCAACGCGGCGGCAACCTCCTCGCGCTCGGCGGCAGCGGCCGCCACGCCAGTGTCCTCGATGCCCATGTCGTCGACGGGGTGAAGGAGAGGCAGGGCGCCGCCGGGGTACCTTCCGCGCAGCGCCTTCAGCGTCTGCAGCACGGCGCGGCGCGCCTCCGGCGGGCGCAGGTCCTGCGGGATGCTGATGCGCAGCGTGCTCAGCGCGTGCAGCAGGCCTAGGGGCACCGGGATCACCTCCATGCTGCCCCGCTCGTCGTCGAGCAGGGCCGGGGTGGGCTCGCCGCCCACGACCCCGGCGCAGCACAGCAGCGTGTCCATGTGGTAGGCAGGCGCGGCGGCGGGCGGGGCGTTGCCACGCTCCTCCCGCATCGCGCTGACCACCACGCCCCAGCCCCAGTCCACACCCTCTGTCGTGTTGTGGGAGGAGTGAGTGCGACAGGGGGGGATGGAGGGCCGGCGTCATGCTGCGCATGCATTGCCGTGCATCCAGCCAATTCCCATCCATCCAGGGCAAGGCGTCGTTGGATGGGCAAGGCCCCTCAGGCGCAGTCAGGTCCCAGGAAAGCATGAAAGGGCCTCCACCACTGTATCAATCCCCATTCACACTCTCTCGTCTGCACCATCCCGGCGCACCCTGGACCACGCGGACGAGGCGGCCCGGCCTCAGGTAGTGCAGGCACCGCTCCGGCTTCCTGACCTCCGCAGCGAGCGTGCTTTCCAGCTCCGCCAGCCGCGTCTTGAGCCTGGTGTACTCCGCCGCCGTCTCCTCCCCCGCGTCCCCGATGGCCGCCACTGCCGCCTGAACCTCCTCCAGCCGGGCCTCCAGCGCTGGCAGCTCCTTCTCGTGCTGAAACTGGGAGAAGGAGTGCTGGATGACATACTCCATGCTGGCCCCGCTGCCCTCCACCCGCCGCATCAGGTTGAGCAGGGTGTAATAGGACAGGCGGAAGGAGGAGAGCAGCGGGTTGGCCTTGCCCTTGATGATGGCCCTGGAGGGGACGAGAGGAGGGTGGATTCGTAGGGGCCTGAGGGTGAACTGGCACTCCATGGCCGTCCAATGCACCCCCCAGCGCCCTCATCAATGCACGCTGTCCTGGATACATACACACAAGCATCGCTTTCCCACCTGCGTACCACCCACCCTACCACAACCCCCCCTACTCGCCCCACTCACTTGCACGTGGCCTCGTCCATGCTGTTGTTCATCATCATGATGGTCATCCCGCGGTCGTCCTTTCCTCGCCGCCCCGCGCGGCCGCTCATCTGAATGTACTCCCCGCTCCCCATCCACCGCTCCTCCTGCCCGTCCCACTTTCGCATCGCCGTGAAGACCACCGTGCGGGCAGGCATGTTGAGGCCCATGGCAAAGGTCTCGGTGGCAAACAGGCACTGCGCCAATGTTTCGTTGAGGATGGGGAAAGATTAGGGGGTGTTAGTGCTGGGGAAAGTGTGGGGCGCTGTGCACTCAGGCAGAGGCGAGGAGTCCACTTGACGCTCATGGTAACCCAAGCAATGTATCATGCTTCTTGTCTTCCCTCCTGCCTCCCCTACAAACCTTGATCAGCTGCTCCTGGAACAGGATCTCCACCACCTCCTTGATGATGGGCAGCAGGCCGGAGTGGTGGATGCCGATGCCGCAGCGCAGCAGGGGGTAGATGTGCGCCACCGCCCTCAGGTCCCGGTCCTTCTCGGACAGGCACTGGGGGCCGGCGGTGGGTGAAGAGAGAGCTCATGATGCAGAGATTGTACCATCGAGCCATCAGCTCACGTCCTTGTCGCTTGCAGAAGGAGGAGGCTTAGGAAACAGCCAGATGCAGATGTGGAGCGCTCACAAAGGCTGCCTTCCCCCAACGCCTGACATGCATCCCCTTCCTTGTCACCGCATCTGCCTCACCTGGAGGGCGGATTGGAACACCGCATCCACCGTCTCCTTTTCTTCCTGGGTATTGAAGTCCAGGGCTCCCAGGTCGGCCTTGGCCATCAGCATGGCATTGGATTCGCACTCCCTGTCGGTGTGTGGGAAGTAATTGTGAGGGCAGGTTTGGTCCAAGGCAGCGGATGCTTGGCCACTGTACGATGGTGGCAGGCGCTCATTGCCGCGCATTTCCCACCAGGAGCGCCGCACCTGCGGCTGAAGCTGAAGACGATGACGGGGTCCAGCTTTCGCTCCTTGATCAGCATCACAATCTTGCGGAGGTCTTGTGCCGCCGAGGCGCCGGTGGGCTTCCCGCCGCCGCCGCCGCCGCCCCTCTTGCCCTTGCCCTCCTGCCCGCCGTCGCCGCCCTTGCCCAGCACCTTTTGAAGCTTCTGGAAGTTGTCGTCTCGGAACTCGCCAAATTCGTTCATCACCTAGAGGGAGGTGGGGGTTGACGTGGGGGGGTTCAGTCTGCATCATGTGAATTGCCTCGAGTGTCTCCAGCCGGCGGTCTCACTGGTTGCAAAGCACCACAGTTGCCATGCTGCCCGGCACGATTCCACTGCCCGGCAGCGTTGCATCATCTCGCGTGCTGCCCTCGACAAGCTGCATAGTGCATGCGCCCTGGTGCCCTGCTTCCGAAAGGCATCCTCCAATCCATCGCTTGGCTGCAGCCCATGTCCACCTCCCCCACTCCCCACACAGCGCCCTCCCCTCGCCCCAACCCCCGACTCCACGCCCCTCCCGGACCCCCCTCCCCAGCCACTCACCAGATACAGCCCGTCCCCGCCCGAGGGAAATGCAAAGTGGCGCAGGGGGGTGGGTCGGAACTCGGTGTACACCACGTGGCAGGGGGACTGGTGCACCGAGGCCACCCAGTCGGCAAACTCAGTGGCGTTGGAAAGCGTGGCGGAGAGGAAGACCATGCGCGCATCCTTGGGCGCAAAGATGATCGTCTCCTCCCAGATCACGCCGCGCTCCCGGTCCTGCATGTAGTGAACCTCATCAAACACGATCCACGCCGTCTCGCGCAGCAGCTCGGAGCCCCTGCGTGCGGATGGGGTGGAGGATTGCTGGGCAAAGGTCAGCTCAGTGGGGTGGCCACGTTAACATCGCGCAATGGCAGCGCTGGGCCTGAGCTCTTACGAGGGCAGGCCCTGCAGCATCCATTGGGGATGACTGAAAGCGCCTTCTTGCATCCCAACCCTTTCCCACTGCAGATGCCCAGCGGCCCAGGGCAGATCACACTTCCCCCCCCCAAACCTGTAGATCATGGAGCGCAGGATCTCCGTGGTCATGACAATGCAGGCGGCGTTGGGATTGATGGAAACGTCCCCTGTCATCAGGCCCACGTCGCCAAACTCCTCCGACAGCTCGCGGAACTTCTGGTTGCTCAGTGCCTGTAGGTATGCGATTGGAGGGTTGAGACGGATGAGAGCGGGGCTTGGTTGCTCCTGGATTCCAGCATGGCTTTTGGGCAGCTCTGGGCAGTGGCCCCAAGGCGCTGCACAGATGACCAGCGCCCAGCGGCCAGACCTTGATGGGGGAGGTGTAGAAAACGCGCTGGCCCATGGCGAAGGCCTTGGCGATGGCGTACTCTGCGATCGCCGTCTTCCCGGCAGAGGTGTGGGCGGCCACCAGCACATTCTCCTTGCGCTCCTGCGTGGTGTTTGGTGCACGACCTGTGAGGATGTCACCTGCCCAGGCAAGCCTCCCACACCCAAAGGCGCCTGGTTCCTTCCCATTGGCACGGTATGGGATGCACTTGGAATGCCGCGCATTCCTTCCCAACCCCCAAAATCAAGAAGAGCAAAGACATCCAGCTCACCACGCAGGCCACCGCCTTGGCTTGGAAAGAGTCCAGGACAAAGGGGTACTCCTTGGCGGGCTTCCCCTTCCACTGCGGGTCCTCCAATGTTCCTGAGGGACAAACGGTGGGTTTGCAAGTTGGCGCAAGGCGTCATGCTCCAGCAAAACACTCTCCAGCAACACATAGTCTACGCTGCCAGCCACGTCCAGCGTCAAACCACCAAGGGGCGTTAGTTTCCAGCACGTCCCTCTGCGCCCTTCACACCATAGAGCTCAGGGTCGAGGGTGATGCTGCTGGGGTCAAAGCCCTTTGGGCAAGCTACCTCATGCGTGCACACGGCAGATGGTGCTGCACCCGTTGGCTTCTTGGATGGGGGCCCATCTTCGATCTGGGACGTGAGGGGTGCATCGCAGGGTGGCGTGCTGAGATGTCCGTCCTGGGTGAGAGTCACTAAATCTACCACTGCCCACGCCATCCAAGAGGCCGTCTTCCTCACCAGTTCCAACTCCCTCTTTTTCTTCTTCAGAGCTTCCCGAGTCGCAGCGGCTTTGGCGAGCCCCTCCGCTGTGGCCTCCATGTGAGCACCGCCCCGAGTGGTCCCCGCCTGCTCTAGGTGCACGGCGCAAGCATACAAACCAAAGTACCTCGATCCGATGCTCTGTAACTGTGCAGAATGTAATTTCCCGATGACATGAGTATGGAGGGCGGTTCTGCGGTTCCAAGACTGGGTTAAAAACATGTCTGCATGCATGGAGTTTTTAAAGCGCTAAACAGCGCGCGCTGAGTAGTTTTCGCTGCGTCCCGAAGAATAGCATGATGAGCATCGTATGTGATCAAAAAGTGTTCTAAGAATGCTGAAATATTCGTTTACAAACTGATGCATTGGTGTAAACGGCCTGAGTGAGGAGGCAGGTGAGGGCGCACTACCAAAGAGTACCAAAGCGGTGTGGTGTTACAACGGCCTGCTGAAGGCCACCCATAGATATTTTGGGGTCTTAAGGCGCCTGAGCGGGCGAATATGTCCGCCATTCGGGTCCAGCGGCTGGATGTGGCGGCACCGAGGACCATCTTGGAGGCAGGGCTGGCAGAGGCTCCCAGCAACCTGGACTCGACCCGCATAGTGTCCATCGGCGATGAGCTCGACATGGGAACGGACCAGGAATCCATCCTCAGGTGAGTGGACTTCATGTGTCTGTGTGGTGGTCTTGCTGGGCTGGCCTCAGTGCAAGGGCAGCAGAGCTGATGGCGTCGCCCAGACAAGCTGTTCACTGGACCCTCTGCATATTCGATGTTGCGATGCATGTGTCGCACTGAATTCCATCACCCGCACACATCACCAAACGACAGGGGCCATGGCACTCAGACACGTGCCGAGACGGGCGCGCTGGTGGCGTCGGTGGCCGGCGTCGTAGAGCGGGTGGACCAACTAGTCACAGTCAAGACCCTCCGAACCCGATATGTGGCGGAGGTTGGGGACGTCGTCGTCGGGCGTGTGGCCGAGGTACGACCTGGGATGTTTTGGTTATGGATGTCTGTGCAGACGGCAGTACGGGGGCCTCTGTTTGTGCCCTGCAGATGGCGCTGCGTTGCACAGGGTTCTGTCACCAGGTCATGGTTATGGCATCACGCATGATGCGGTTGCAAAGAGAATCTCCAGGCGGCCTCCCAGTGCCGGTTTTGCTCTTATGCCCTGATCCTAGCTCCCACGCACACCCACCCGCCCACAAACAAGCACAGATCGTGGGCAAGCGCTGGCGGCTGGACCTGGGCTCCCGGCACGAGGCCACGCTGCTGCTCTCGGCCGTGGACCTGCCCGGCGGCATCCAGCGGCGGCGCACTGCCGAGGACGAGCTGACCATGCGCGCCGTCTTCCCCGAGGGCACGGTGCTGGCGGTGGAGGTGCAGAGCGTGCACGCCGACGGCGGCCTGGCCCTGCACGCGCGGTCGGCGCGCTACGGCGCGCTGGCCGGGGGCACGCTGGTGGCCGTCCCCGGCGCGCTGGTCCGGCGCCAGGCGCGCCACTTCCAGCGGCTAGATGGACGCGGCGTGGACCTCATCCTCGGCTGCAACGGCGGCGTCTGGGTGGCGCCCGCGCGGCCGGACGCGCGCGGCGTGCGCGGCCACTTTGGCGGCGCCGGGGACGGAGAGGAAGAGGGGTCCGCATTGCGGGCCGTGCCGGCAAGTGTCCAGGAGCGGCAGGGGGTGGCGCGCGTGGCGCAGGCGCTGCGCGCGCTGGCCACGCTGTACCTGCCCATCGACGCGGGGAGCGTGGCGGGGGCGCTGCAGGTGGCCGATGCCGTGGGCGTGGCCACGCCGGACATGGGCAGCAGGGCCTACCTCACCGCCCTGGTCGAGGACGTGGCGGCTGGGAGGGTCGCGACTGCGGCCGACCGGGGGCAATGACACTGCTGTTGCGCGGGAGGTGTGGACAGGCGATGATTGGACGCTGTTGATCATCACCTGTGCGGAGAAAAGTGGAGGATGTGAGGGTATTAAGCGAAGAGCGGGCTGACAGATGAAGGCGAATTAGGGGCCATGGCGCTCAGAGGTGGGGTGCCCAAAGCGATCGCAGATCGCGCGCAACCAAACGGGCGACCTAGTATTCTACATGACGTCGCGCAGGTACGCACCGAGCATCTGTTTGATAAGATCGGGAGTCCATCTCGAACTCATAAAAGCTGGGCGAGGCCCAACGCCCGGATGGCCAGCCCTTGAGGGGGGCCAAGGGGCGATGCCGAACCTGAGGAACTTGCTGCGCAAGCGGCCCTCATCCAGCACCTCGGGGGCCTACCTCAGTCCCCAAGTACTGGAGGCCGCCTCAAATGCATATTACAACAATGCCAACAAGTGTGTGGGCGACTGGGGGCCCGGGGTGGAGTGCTCAAGGCAGGGTGTCGGGACTCCTGGCGAATACCCCAGCCGCTTGGCGCAGCTGGGGATAGAACCAGAGAGTGTGGGCGCTCACGCCCTCCCCACTCCCCTCCAGGTCAAACTTCATGGAGGAGATCCCCGAGATCTTCCAGCTGCCTGCGCTGGACCGAGGCAAGTGGACGGCGCAGCAGGAGATGGAAAGGGCCCAGCAGGCAACGCTCGTGGAAGGGGGCAGGTATGTCAGGGATATTCCGGTTGGGGGACAGCATGAGTCTCTTTATGTTGAAGTTTGGACGCACCCAAGCACGGGCTCATCGATCGCTGCAAGCGCAGGAAGGCTGGGAAATCGCGAGTCCACTACTTCAGCCCACGCCTGAGACTCGTGCTCTTCAGCAAGGGTGAATGAGTGTGGGCAGATGACAATGTTTTGTCTGCGGTGGCCAGAAACTCAGGCCATTCTGTGACGATGGAGAAGATGACATTGAGTCTGGCAATGTTCACTGCCGGTTGCCCGTCTGGGCAATCAAAGCGCCTGTGTGTGGCTGGGGCCCTCAGCCGTCACCCTCCTCTGACAAACCCCTGCAACCCCATGAATCCACAGACTTCTTCATCAGTGCCATCAACCAGAAGACCCACGTCATCTTCGGGGTCGTGTTCCTCCTGTACGTCTTCCTCTCCTTCTTCTGGTCCATACCCTACTACCTCATCATGCGCTTCGAGCCAGGGTGCATCTACGGCGCCACCCACTACGTAGAGATCTGGATCTACGCCTTCATCACCATGGCCACCATTGGTGAGGGGGAGTTGGCTGTGCCTGCTGTCTTTTCAATGTCTGCAAGGGAGCAGAAGGGTGGGCTTCCTTAGACCTCACTGTGGCGCTCTGGCTGCCCGGCTTAGGGTGTCGCAGGCAGGGACCTGGCCTTGGCCCCAGCACCCGCCTTCCTCACTCACCTGTACCCCTCTCCCACTTCCCCTCTCATCAAAATTCAACTACTGCAGGGTATGGCAACACCGGCCCCCAGGCCTGCTGGTCCACCTCGGTCGTCATCTCGGTCCAGAGCATCTTCAGCCTGCTGCTGGAGGCGGTGGTCATCGGCATCATCTTCGCGCGCATCTCCCACCCCAAGCAGCGTGGCCGCTCCATCTTCATCTCCGACTCCGCGGTCATCTCGCGCCGGGACGGCATCCTCAAGTTCATGTTCCGCGTGGCCGACGTGCGCAAGACGCAGGTGGTGGACCCCAAGATCAAGGCCTACCTGTACACCTGGGGCGACGGACGCATCACCGCCGAGGGGGAACGGGTGCCAGGTGGGAGGCTGGGTGATATGGGGCCTCTGGTTCAGGGGCTCCTGTGGCGTCGGCTCTTGGGTGGGAATACAGTGTAGATCATGACCCAAGAATGTCGTCATCAGATAACCATTCCCACTTCCAAAGCCTCCACCTCATCCCCCCCTGGCGCCTGCAGTGCGGTGCGAGGCGCTGGAGATCGGCTACATCGACGGCATGCTCATCCTCCCCCTCATCATCGAGCACACCATCGATGAGCTGTCGCCCCTGTGCGGCCACACTCACGACAGCCTGCAGGCCATGAACGCCGAGCTGGTCATCACCTTTGAGGGGACCACTGAGGTGGGGGTGTTGGGATGGTGGGTTCCATGACTCCTGGTGGGGCTGGGTGAGTGGCGCTGGTTGCGGTTGCGGGACGGTTTGCCTGTGGAAGTGCACTGACATTAATCCTCCGGCGGTGTGACCTCACACCTTGACCCTGGCATCATCCTAGTGGTGTGCTCTTCTCACCCCTACTCCCCTTTCACCCTCCTTCCCTCCCCCTTTCACCCTCCACCCCTCCCGTTACAATCATTTCCAATGCTCTACAATCGCAGTTTGGCAACCCCTTCATGGCCCGCCGCTCCTTTGTGCCCACCGACATCTTCTGGGGCTACCAGTTTGTGGACATCATCGTGCGCCCCGCACCGGGGGAGACCCGCTACAGCATCGACCTCAACCGCTTCCATGACATTGTGCCCCAGGCCGGCCTCGCCCCCGCTCCCCGCCTCCGCCCTCTCCCGCCTGGTCACCAACCGCGCCAAGCGCACCGTGCCCTACCCGCTGCTGGGCGACAACACGCTGGTGGTATCAGACACGATGTGCCTGTACCGCGACGAGGCCGGGCGGCTGTGCCTGGCGGCACGCGTGGCCGACACCTACCCAAACCAGATGATTGAGATCACCGCCAAGATGTCAGTGAAATGGTGTTTTGTTCTTTATTGGGGGGGGAGTGGGGGTAAGGAGGTTTGGGGGGGGGGGTGGATTGAGGGGAACTTGGGGTCTATCGGATGGTGGCAGGTTCGGGAATCATCGCTGTCACAACGCTCCTTTTCCGAGAATGCTTGACTATGTCTGTTTCATGCTGCAAAACCTGTGACACTCCACAGGCATCTGTATCGCTGGGCCGCCCCCGGTTCGGACCCGTCCTTTGAGTGCATTCCGTTGGAGTGCGGGTACAAGACGGGGGAGGACAGGCTCTACCTGCGCCTGCCCATGGAGCTCACCCACGTGATCGACGAGGCCTCCCCGCTGGCCGCCTGGCTGCAAGGGGAGGAGGGACGAGCGGCGGACGCCGACTCGGAGGTCGTGGTCATGGTGAGTGAGGGATTGCATGTCTGCATGTCGTGGCTTTTGGGGGGTGGTGTAGATTGGAACCCAGCTGCATGATTGGGGCGTTGCTGCCGGCGAATGGAAGTACTGCCTGACGTGCGCGACGCCCCTCCCTGCGCTTTGCAACACTCCTCTTGCTGTCGCAGGCGTAGCTTGATCATTGCTTTGTTCCGCCACCCAAGCTTTCCCAAGGCTTGTCAAGTACTGCATCACCCAAACACCCCCTGCACTCCCCCCCCCTCCCCAAATCGCCAGTTGACTGGGTACATGTTCTCCACGGGGTCCAACATCCTGCGTCAGCGGACCTACTCCGTGCTGAACCACATCAAGATGGACCACCGCTTCGTGCCCATCGTGCGGCACCCCGAGCTGCAGGCCGACAAGAAGCCGGTGGTGCGCTGGGCACGCTTCCACGACGTGGCCTCCACCGACCCCAAGGCCCGCGCGCTGAGGACCGCCATGACGCAGCGCCAGTCCTGTGAGTGCCAGTGGTGTATGTGGATGGAGGGGCGGTGAGAGGTCTCTGGTCGAGGGGGGGGGAGGGATCATGTGTGACGTCAGAACTCTTCCTCTGAGAGAGCATTTGACGGGCATCGATGTCTCTAATTCTCTGCATGGTCACACTCCATCACTTGCCGTTGTGTGCCTGCCCCTAGGGCTCGGCTGGTCCACCATTCCAATGCCTCTCCGGTCCGACCCGCCCCAAGCCCTTTTTCCATGTCCACAACCCAATCCCCCACCACCACCCCTCCTCCCGCGCCACAGTCCGCCAGCAGAGCCCGGACAACCCCTCCCCCCCCGCGCCCGGCGCTGCGAGTGCGGCGGCAGCCAGCCTGTCCCGCGCCTCCCCTGGCCTTGGCTTCAGCCCCCTGGACGCCGCCAACGACTTCACCGTCTCGCCCATCGACCTGGCGCGCTACGCGGCCATGGTGACGGCGGCGGGGGACAACACGCTCACGCGCGGCGCGGGGGGACGCCGCGAGTTTCCCCCCATTCCCGACTTCCAGTCCATCGTGGACGAGGCGGGGGCCGACCCCGCCACGCGCCACGCGCTGCGCATGCTGCCCTCGATCGCCAAGTACACGCTGACCACCTTTGACGCTGCCGACTCCCTGCCCCACCGCGTGGCGCTGCACCCGGCCATGCCCGGGGCCAGCCGTTTCCGGGGCATGATGGACGACGAGGAGGAGGACATGGAGGAGGTGGGGGACGACCTGGGCGAGGACCTGGCGCGGTACGAGCTGGACATGCAGGGCAGCGAGGGAGGAAAGGACGGCGCGGGGACGGGGGTGGCGACCGCAGACGCCTGGGCTGAGCCGGAGGCTGGGCCCTCAGACCTGGGGCCGGTGGCGGCCGCCGTGGAGGCTAGCGCGTCCAGCCAGCCGGAGGCCTCGGGCAGCGAGGCGACAGAAGAGCGGGGGGGCGGGAGCCCCAGCGCGGTCCGGGAGGACGAGCTGGGGCTGGAGGCGCCGGCATCTGGCCGGGCTCCCATCCTGCAGACTTCATCTCCGAGCGCAGGCGGGGAGGACGCCTCCTCCCCCGTCGCCCTCATCGAGGAGGAGGTGGAGCCGGGCATGCTGGAGACGCCCGGCAGCGGCGGCAGCTTGCGCCTCCTGGGCTCCCGCACCTTCGCACCCAGCTTCCGGTCCCAGCCGGAGCGAGACGAGGCGACGGCTGAGGAGGACGCCGGCGAGGATGCTGAGGAGGCCAACGCCGGGCCCATCCACTTCAAGTGAGCAGCAGGGGTCTATGAGAGGGAGAAACTAGAGGTTTACCCGTGATGAAACAGTCTAGCAGGCTGTGCCTCCTTTGTCAGACTAATTGATGCCATGTGCAACTATGGCACATGTTGACTTGAGGCCTGCTTGCCCAACCACTCAGCTTGATCACCTCCACCTTTACCCCCTGCAGCACCCCCAGCTCTTGGTCCCAGACACGTGCCCTCACAAACCTGTTTGGGGCCCCCCCGAGCCCAGCACCGCAGCGGCAACAGCCTGAGGGTGAAGATTCTGAGTCCCCTTGATGCGCTGCAGTGTGGCACCTGGGTTGTGATGCAAGCCACTGCGTCTTGCCATCACGCTTGCAAACCACCCCGTACATCTCCATTGTTTACTGAAGCTGCAAGCAATACTTTGGCCAAGCGACCACCAGTTGAGGGTTACTTTTGCCTCTGTCAAGTCGTGGTTAACATCATGGGGTGAGTCGAGGCGTCGCAGGAGGCGTCATCCGGGGAAGGTGGAAAATGGAAAGGTCGGCAGCACAATCGGCGGCGATGGACAGCGATGCACTGCTAGAGGGTCCTGGGGTGGACTGCTCAACATGGGCGGGCATCGCTTCTGGAGTGAGGCAGGCGGGGTGGGGACCCGGGAACTGCATGGTCATCGCAGCCGCGAACGGCAGCCGTCACGCTCAGCCCCCTCCTCTGCTCCTTGCGAAGTACCCTTATTCCACAGGACCGCTCGCCCCTCTCAACCACCTCCCCTCCTACAGCCCTCCATCCGTCGGTCAGTTGAAGTTCTTGGGGGCTCGTCGCCGCAGGAAGTCTGGCACCTGGATGGACGTCCCCCGCCCCTGGCTGGTGGCCGGAGGCTGGACAAAGGGCGGCGGAGCGTCGCCGCCGTCCCTGGCCGGCGCGCCCGGCGCCGGCGCGGCCTGCCGCTGCCCGGCGGGCGTGCCCGCGCCGGGCGCGCCGCCGAACCCCGTGGCGATGAGGGTGATGGACACCTCCTGCGTCATCTTGGGGTCCACCACCGCGCCGAAGATGAGGTTGGCCCCGGGGTCCACCAGGTCGTACACGATCTCCGCGGCCTCGTTCACCTCGTACAGTGTGAGGTCCGCCGGGCCCGTAATGTTCCACACGATGCCCGTGGCGCGCTCGATCCCCGTGTCCAGGAGCGGGGAGGAAATTGCGGCCAGCGCCGCGTCGCGCGCACGCGTCTTGCCGCTCGCCCGCCCCTGGCCCATGAGCGAGGACCCGGCATTGGCCATCACCGCCCGCACGTCGGCAAAGTCGACGTTGACCAGGCCGGGGACGGTGATGATGTCGGAGATGCCGCGCACGCCCTGGCGAGGGGTGAGGGGAGAGGGGGTGAGATTGGTGGTGGGAGGTGGGGCGAGGGTTGGAATGAAGGGCGCGGTTGTGGTGGGGGTTGTTGATACTGAACGTTGGCGAAGCGCCCAAGAAGGGTGTAACGCTGGTGGATCTGGACCTGGAAAATAGAGTATAACCAACAACTCTCATGGCCACGCTACTCAAATCAACCCGAATATGGCATGAGGAGTGTCCGGGTGCAAAGCCTCAGCGTCAGACGCCCAGCATCAAGATCCCAGATTGGCCCAGAAAGAATGGACCAGTCTGTCTCGCCTGGCGAAGGACGTCGTCTGCCACGCGGAAGGCCTCAGTCACTGGCAGGTTGGGGTCCACCGCCGCCAGGAGCTTGTCGTTGGGGATGATGATCAGCGTGTCCACGCTCTGACGCAGCGCCTCGATCGCCTCGGCCGCCTGGGGAGGTGGTTTGCGGGAAACGGTGAGGATGTGTGTGAGGTGGATGGTCTAGGAAGGAGGTTGGAGACCGAGATGCATGGACTGGAATGGGAAGGCCGCTTTGGAGGTCACAGAAGAGACATTGCTGAGATGATGCCATGCTAGTGCACTGGTTCAGTGGAGAAGTGCGTGCTGGGGCATTCGGTTTGTGCTCTGCATGCCCACAGGTCCATTGTACACGAGTTGAACCAATTGCGGCCCAATCAGCGTCAGCTCTGCAAGCAACTGCATAATGACTGAAAGCAAATTACTCCCTTAGGCACCCAGAACGCGCCTGGTTCCGACGCATGCGGCCCTCGAAGGAAAAGGGGGTGGTCACGATGGCGACAGTGAGGATGCCCAGGGACTTGGCGATGGCCGCCACCACCGGGGCTGCGCCAGAGCCGGTGCCACCGCCCATGCCGGCCTGGGAGGTTGGAGACAATTAAGGGGGCCCGATCGTGTCGATTCTTGTACAAAGCAAGCATACACACGTTTGCAACCAGATACGAGCCCCATCTGTGCAAATGAACTGCCACGTCAGGCATCCAACGCTCTGGCCACCCTTCATGCCCACTCACCGTGACAAAGACCATATCGGAGCCGGCAAGGGCAGCCTCCAGCTGCGCCTTGCTTTCCTGAGCCGCCTTCTGACCGATGGCAGGCTTGCCACCCGCACCCAGCCCCCGGGTCAGCGTCTCCCCAATCTGCATCTTGTTGGTGGCTGCGACAGGGGAGGACGCTAAGGCCTGCGGGTGAGGAAGGGAGGCCAGGGAGGGACGGGAGATGGGTCAAAGGCCATCTTGGAAGGCTTGTAGTAGAAAAGCATGCACTCAATAGCAGCCAGGAGCAGCCTCACAAAATCTCCAGCAAACCACAGACGCCACACAGCGCTGCTGCCCCCTCATACCCCTCTGCACCAGCCTGGCTTGCCTGGGCATCAGTGTTGAGCACCCAAAAGTCGATGCCCTGCATGTCAGCTTTGATCATGCGGTTCACGGCGTTGGAGCCGCCTCCTCCCACGCCCACGACCTGGAAGAGGGCTCGTGGACTGATTCACGGGGCTGCATGTCGGAAAGGCGCTCGCGGCGCGGTATGGAAGCTCGCCATCGTGGCATGCAAAGTCAAACTTTCAAAAGGTGCAGGAGTGGACACCGCCGGGCCAACGGACCTTAATGTTGGCCTTCCCAAAGAGCGCATTGTCCACGGAGTTGGAGGGTGGGGCGTCTGATGGGGAGGGCGGACTACTTTTGGATGCTGGCGAGGACGAGTTGGGCCCGGCGGATGCCGCGAGCCTGGAGCAGGGGGTGCTGGCGGACTTTTTAAACGGGCCCATCGCGGGGCAGCGTGCCTTCCAAGGAACTGGCCGGGAAAACGGCGCAGTTCGTGCGTCTGATGGCCCAGCCATGGGACGTGGTCCCCGGCCTTGGGCCTGCCCGCAGGCAAAACTGACGCTCATCGCCCAGGGTGTGCAGCTAGGCACGAGATCAGCGGGCACAACTCGCACGATTCCGTTGAAATTTCTTTACCGCTCAGGTTCCACGAGTTTCCGGGAGCCCTTCCCTGCCATGGCAGCCCAGCGCGAGCCTGCTACAGCTGTTGGCCCTGCCTCCTGATCCGTTTGGACTTCGCGCGCTGCCCTCCACTTCCTGTCACCATCCTGCATCAGGGCGCCGAAGGGGGCACACTCGGGCCGGGCGGTACGCACAAACAGTGCGAGTACAGTGAAAACGTGCAAAACCGTGTGCATGCATTGGGCCCTGCCCTCCATCCAAGACGCCCGCATTCTCTGACACTGGTCGGCGTCGTGGCCGAGTGAGGGCCGGCGAGACAGCCCCTCCCAGACCTCCCCAGCTGCCTGCCCAGCACCCGCGCGGCGCCACGGGCCCATAAAACTGTTCACCACCGCACGCCGGGCGTTGGTTCTCGCACGGCGAGAGGTGCGCGGACCGGTCGGTCTGCTGCACGCCATGGCGGAGGCGGCAACTGCCACCCCACCGGAGCTGCCCACCAAGTGAGAGGGCGGCAGCAGCAGGGCTGTGTGATTGTGTTGAAGTAACTCCTTATATTGTTTTTTACATTGGTGCATGGCCGGGAACCTCACGCTGGCACCCCTACCCACAACACCCACACATACACAGGCCCATCCCCGAGGGCTTCACAGCGCGGACAGAGGGCAAGGCCACCATCCTGCAGCATGGTAACGATGTCTTCTACAACCCCGCTCAGGTGATCAATCGCGACCTGTCCATCGCGGTGCTGCGCTACTTTGCCGCCCTGCGCGCCACCGAGCCGGCCCCCACGGGCCGAGCGGCGCATCGCGCGCGTCGTGCCTCCCCCACGAATGCGGCGGAGGTCTCAACCCCTCCCACCCGCCCCGGCCTGACCGTGCTGGAGGGACTGGCCGCCTCGGGCCTGCGCGCCATCCGCTATGCGCAGGAGGTCCCCGGTCTGGCCCGCGTGGTGGCGAACGACCTGGACCCCAGCGTGGTGGAGGCCCTGCGCCGCAATGTGGCCTTCAACGGCGCCCCTGCGGTTGACCTGGTGGAGCCCAGCGTGGGCGACGCGCGCCTGGTCATGCTGCGCCGTGCCGGCGAGTTCGACGCGGTGGACCTGGACCCCTACGGCTCGCCCAGCCAGCTGCTGGACAGCGCGGTGCAGGCCGTGGCGGACGGCGGGCTCCTGCTCTGCACCGCCACCGACATGGCGGTGCTGTGCGGGAACAACAGCGAGACCTGCTTCGCCAAGTACGGGGCCTACCCGCTGCACAAGCCCTACTGCCACGAGCAGGCGCTGCGCATCCTGCTGGGGGCCATCGAGACCGCCGCCGCGCGCTACAAGCGCCACATCGTGCCCCTGGTCTCACTGTCCATCGACTTTTACGTCCGCGTCTTCGTCCGCGTCTACACCAATGGTGTGTGGGGGGTGCTGATGTACGAGCAGGGGTGGGAGGGCACGGGAAGGAGGGGGAGTGAGGGGAGGTGCAAGGGGCCGTGGAGGTAGAGCAATGCAAGGGTTGTATCGTATGGATCGAGAGGGCGCCGGGATGACGTGAGTAGGGTAGACTGAGTGCAGGCTGGCGTCGATGGGCCAACACCCAAGAAACTTCTGGCTCTGGGTTGGCACGGCCATGCCATGCCACTTGGGAACCCTCGGAGTGAGCCGTACCCCATGCAACCCCCCTCTGTTCTACAACCATGTCCAGCGAACGAGGTGAAGAACTCGGCCACGCGCATGGGGTACGTCTGGCAGAGCCAGGGCTGCGACTCCTTCTACTGGCAGCGCATGGGCCGACGGCTGATCAAGGGCAGCAGCGTCAAGTACGCGCCCGGGTCCGGGCCCGCCGTGCCCCAGGCCTGCCCCGAGACGGGCGCCGGCTTCACCATGGGCGGCCCCTTCTGGGCCGAGGCGTTGCACAGCGCCGAGGCGCTGGCCGGCATCCTGCAGGTCCTGCGCTCCGACCGCGCCGCCTTCCCAGCCTACGCCAAGGTGCACAGCATCCTCACCGCCGCCAGCGAGGAGCTGCTGGACGCGCCGCTGTATGTCAACCTCCACGACGTCTGCAAGACGCTCAAGTGCTCCGCGCCGCGGGCAGAGGTCCTGCGCTCCGCCATCGTCAATGCGGGGTACAGGTGCGCGGCTGGATGGAAGAGGGAGAGGAAGAAGAATAGGGTTGTGTTTGGGTGCGCGCAGTTATAGAATGCGACGTCAAAAGGGCAGCCATGCGGCGTGGCTTCAATGTGTTTTATGGCATGGGGAGCAATCACACATCCCTTGCATGCAAACCCTTTGCATGCTGGGATGTCAGCAACGACAACCCAAACCAGCAGCTTACCATTTCTCCTACCCGCAATCGCAGGGTGTCGTCCACCCACGCCTGTGCGCTGGGCCTGAAGACCGACTGCCCCTGGAACGTCTTCTGGGATATAATGCGCTGCTGGATCGCCGAACATCCGGTCAAGAACGTCCTCCCCGGGTCATGCTGTGAGTCGCAGAGGGCGGGAACGAGCGGGAGGAGGTTTTTGCCGCCTGCCATGACTGTGTTCGTCGCTGCCGCCAGAGTTCTTGGCCTTGTCCTTGCAGAATACCTTACTGTTCAGTGGACCAGGGGTGGAAAGGTGCTCTGCTGCTCCCTCACGCAACAGTCGAAAGCTCAAGAGCCACACCACGCATGGTTGCCGTGCACATTACCCAATTGCCCTTCAAGTATCCTGTGTCCCGAACACACTTTGAAAGCCTCCCCATGCCCCGCCCTCACAGTGGAGAAGATCCTGGCCAAAGCGCCGGAGCACAAGGCCAACTTTGCGCGCGCCACGTCTGCGCTGAGCAAGGCGCGGACCTCCAAGGTGGCGCGCTACCTCCCGAACCCCGAGGCCAACTGGGGTCCCAAGCCCAAGCATGGGAGGGGACCGAAGCAGGCCGAGGCAGGGGCGCAGGTGGGTGCCGCCAATGGCGCACACAAGCCCTCACCTGACGAGGACGGGGGTGCAGAGGCTGTTCAAGAGGCGAAGGTTGCCGCGCCACAATGATGAGTGGCAGCCAGAGCCCACTCCCTGACGCACTGTTTCCCGCTCATGGCCGCAGCCCAGCCGTGCCCTTCCGCGGCAGGCCCACCCGGTCACGTGTCCTTGAGTGCCGTGTCAACTGATATGCTGCCGGACATCTTACTCACCCACTGTGTTCTCCCTGCTACCTGTGGAGCTTACTGGCTAGGGTCTCTCTTTTTGCTGACAGACATCTGCAATTGACAAGTAACACCAACTATCAGACAATGCGGGTCCCCCATTTGCCAGGTAGCAAGGGGTCAAACGACGTCAGGAGGGGTACCAGAGATTCGTATGTACTGCTGCTCATCGCTGATCTTGCCAGCTCAATAGCAGGGCTTGCGCTCGTCTGCCTTTTTCAGCAGATCTCCAGGGCAACAAAAAATGGCAGTGCATGCGCTGTGGATCATGACATGATCTGGCGCAACGCGTCGCCCACCTGAGTAGCGAAGGGATAAGGCACATTGACTCTGTCAAGCCTGTGCATCACATCACTTCGAGGTGCTCTGGCTCCAATCACCATAAGATGCCACTGTCATCCTCCCGTGCCAGGCCCTCGCATCACCTGGCTGAACTTGAAGTCGTACCCTGCCTCCTGAGCCCGGAGAGGGAGGACCCTCTGGCCGTCCAGCACCACCGTGGCACCCTCACCCAACAGCAGCCGGATGGCAAAGTCAGGGACGGGGAGCAACGCCGGCCTGCAGGGCTTGTGTGTTGTGTCGTGCTCAGCTTGGGGAGGATAGGGGCGTGCAGTGATTGTACAGCTCAGCCTGACCGCATGCAAGAGGGAGAATCTGGTATACTTTGGCAATCTCTTCAGCCCTGCATCAAACATGCAGCTGTATCGCCCTCCTTCTCCACTCGCCTGCCCATGGCCGCTCCCAGCTCTGAGCACAGCTGGCCCATGCGCACGGGGGAGGGGGCGGTGGCGTTGTAGACCCCGGACCACTGCTCGTCCTTGAGAGCAGCCATCAGGATGCCAACCACGTCGTCCCTGGCACCATGGAATATCGAGGGGGCGTGAGATGGACACAGTGTTGCATTGCAACGGTCATGCTGCTTGGCATCGATCCCTGTGCTGCCTCCCAGTCCCCCTTCCCCTGCATCAGCCTCCCCACCCCAATCACAACCTGTGGATCCAGGAGCACCACTGCTGCCCGCTGCCCAGGGGTCCCCCGGCAAAGAGAGAGAACATGGGGATCATGCGCCCCAGGGCGCCGCCCTCCTTGCTCAGCACGATGCCGTTGCGCAGGATGACCACGCGGGTATTGGCCCGCTGCGCCGCCGACTCCCATTCCTTGCACACTTCCGCCAGGAAGTCTGTGCCGCCCCCGGACTGCTCGTTGAAAGTGGCACGCTCGCTGGTGCCGTAGTAACCCACGGCAGAGGCCGAGATGAAGGCGGGCGGGCGCTGGGCCTCCGGCAGCCCGTTCATGATGGCCTGCGGGAGTCATGAGGGAGAGCAGTGGAGGAGGCAAGTTGTGAAGATCGGGCGGCCAAGGGCACAGGAGGCAGTAAGGTATGGGACCCATGCAATGCAGAAGCTGCCATAGCCCTGGGGAGGGGGCACCACAGCTTTCATATCTGTGCTGACACAACACAGCCAGCGAGTGCCCACGCTCAATGACCCACCACGAGGCGGTTGGTGGTCTGCAGGCGCGAGCGCTTCACCTCTGCCTTGACGGTCGGGGACCAACGAGTGGCAATGGGCTCGCCTGCAAAGGAGGAGTGCTCAAAATCTAATGTATTTGTACTATGTACCATCACACCCTCCAGCTCCTTCATGCAGTCGGGGCATGGTCCTCCATGGCCAGTAATGGTAGCCAGGGCAGCCGCAGGCGCTCACCAGCCAGGTTGATCACACCGGCAGTGCCGGCGACGGCCGCGCTCCATTCCGGGGGTTCAGCAAACCGCAGGCCCCTGATGCGCGACAGCTTGTCCCGGGCGGTGGGGGCGTCCCGAGTGAGCACCCGGACCTCGTACCCCTCCTCCTGCAGGCGCGGCACCAGCCCAGACCCGATCAGACCTGTGGCCCCCGCCACCGCGACGCTCTGGCCCGCCTGGCAATTGACCACGACGATTCTTCTACCATGAAAATTGCGTGGGCCCGAGCTTCGATGCCTCGGCGTGAGGGAGTGGGGGATTCTGCATGCCGTACTCTGAGCCCGGCTCCATGCAGTCGGCATCAAGGATGCAGGTCGCGGGTCAGCTCCTGGCAGCCTCAGTCAGGATGCGAGCGACATGAATCTATATGCAGAGATGGTGCATTGACCCGGTTGTGGAGAGGAGGCGGATTGTGCGTGGATGGGGATCCACGTGCTGTCGGATCCTCGGTGGGCGCGCTGTGGGAGGGGTGGGCCTCCACGTGAGAGCGGCCAGCGAAACCCTGCAGGCACGCTTGACCAGGCTGGCTGCGTTGCATATGCGCGTGTTTGCTGTCTGTCATCACTGTGGTGTACGACTCGCACTCTGTGGCAGGAGCCTAGCCTGGCCTTTGGACGCAGTTCCTGTCACGCGTCGAAAACCGACTTGCAGACACACGAAACGACCCGATGGCTCTAGCTCACCAACTACAGCTGCACCAGATAGGATGCCTTCATAGGTGAGGAGGGGCAGGAGGCTGCCCGGAATGACCTTGCGCCTCGGGCTCACCGACGTGACCGAAGGCCCGGCCCCTCGTCACTCCCCATCGCAGGCCGACCCTGGCATGCCCCTCACGACTGCAGGCCTCCTGCAATGCCAGCCAGAGGTGAGCCGATGTAATCTACACCATCTATGTGGGCAGTTACTCGGCTCTGTTGGTGCCCTGCTGGCTCCTGTGTTCAACAGCACACCCTTCCCTTCCCCTGACCGCTCCAGGAACGCCGCCGCCCTGCGCGCCACCCCTCGCCCCTCCCTGGCGCGCACTGTGGCGAAGGCCGTCACGGAGACGGAGGCCGTGGGCGCTCCCACCTCCTCCATCGACTGGGACAACCTGGGCTTTGGCATCCAGGGCGTGGCACCGGTGCGTCGATTGGAGGGTGCTCCAAGTGTGGAGGGTGCACATTGCGCCCTGCCTCTGTGGATGGTATGGCTTTTCTAACATGCTGCAGTCTAGATTCAGTCCTCCTCAGCGATGAAACCCTCTCCTCCCCACTCATCGACAAAATCAGAGCATGTTTGTGGCCACCTTTGACACCGAAATGGGGGAGTGGAGCGAGGGTGGCGTCCAGCCGTACGGCCCGTTGCCCATGTACCCCTCGGCCCAGGTGCTCAACTACGGGCAGGCCATCTTCGAGGGGCTCAAGGCCCAGCGCTCGACCCGCGACCGCATCGTGCTCTTCCGCCCCACCTCCAACGCCGAGCGCATGCAGGTGCGTGCTGTGGGGTATGTGCACGAGGGTCTGGCGCAGGGTGTCTGGCTGCCTCCTGGGTGAGGTTCGTATGGGACATGTGCATTTGTGGGGAAGAACTCCTGCTCCCACCGTCAGGAAGCGTGCAAACGCGAAGCATCATGGCGGCGCGCTGGGGCAGAGTTCTCAAGCCTGCCCTGCCCTCCTTTGTCAACTCGAGCCTGATGAAGCATCGGCTCGTTCGTAAGGGACCCAACAGCCTTCCTCCTACCCCATCTCTCTTCGTAGCTGACCCCCCCACCTCACCTCCCAGCTCATCCGCTCCACCCTCGCACTCCACACATCCACGCAGGCCGGCGCGGCGCGGATGAGCATGGCCGCGCCGCCCGAGGACCTCTTCGTCCGCGGCGTGGAGGCGGCGGTGCGCTCCAACGCCTCCTACGTCCCGCCCCAGGGAAAGGGCTCGCTGTACCTGCGCCCGCTGCTCATTGGCTCTGGCCCCATCCTGGGCGTGGGACCCGCCCCCTCCTACACCTTCATCGTCTACGCTGCGTCGGTGGGCGCCTACTTCAAGGGCGGCCAGCTCAGCCCCATCGACCTGCTGGTGGAGACGCGGTTCCACCGCGCCGCGCCGCGCGGCACCGGCGGCACCAAGTGCGCCGGCAACTACAGCCCCGGCCTGGGCTCGCTGGCCGCGGCCAAGGCCGAGGGCTACTCTGACGTGCTCTACCTGGACGCCAAGCACGACAACTTCCTGGAGGAGGTGTCCTCCTGCAACGTCTTTGCCGTGTACGGCAAGACCATCCGCACCCCGCCCCTCGCGGTGCGCGTGGCAGGAGGAAAGTTTGTTTTTTTTGGTGGGGGGGGGTTGTAGAAAGGGCTGCTAGTTGCCATTCATGGTTGTTCGAGGGCAAGTATATGGATCGCAGGGGAGTCGGCCTCGTAAATGAAGACTGCCCCGATGTGTCCCAGTTCCTGCCACCTGATGACGCCATGACTGATCATGCCATAATCCCCCCCCTCCCCACGACCAGGGCACCATCCTGCCGGGCGTCACGCGGCGGTCGGTGATCGAGCTGGCGCGGGCCAAGGGGTACACCGTGGAGGAGGCCCCCGTCTCCGTGGCCGAGGCCCTGGCCGCCGACGAGGTGTTCACCACGGGCACGGCCGTCGTGCTGTGCTCGGTGGGGTCGCTGACCTACCAGGGCACCAAGCAGCGCTACGGCACCGAGGGCCAGCCGGGGCCCGTGGCGCTGGAGCTGTACGAGGCGCTGACGGGGCTGCAGCAGGAAAGGACGGAGGATCCCTTTGGCTGGGTGCACCACGTGCCGCTTTGAGGCCCTTCGGATTCGCAGGGAGGCGAGCCTCAGTTTTCATGGCGCCTAGTGTGCACCCCTCGGGGAATGCAATGCGAGCCAGCGAGGGGGGGGGGAGCCGCGCATTCGCAGCGCAAGGAGATGTGTATCAGTACTGTCAAACGGAGACCTTGCACCAGGGTCAGAAGGAAGCCTTGGGAGGTGACTCTTTGCAGGGACGGGCATCGTACATCGCACACCGCACGCAGGCCTTCACAGGGACCTAGGGCTCTCCCAGCGCGGCTCGGATGGCGTGCGCCACCCCGTGATCGTCGTGGCCGGGGACCACCAGGTCCGCCGCCTGCAGTACCTCTGGTACCGCGTTACCCATTGCCACGCCCAGCCCGGCGCCCCGGATCATGGCAAGGTCGTTGCCGCCGTCCCCCACGGCCATCAGGTGCCTGGCATCCAACTGTGGGGGGCGAGGTGGGACGCGTAGAGCATGTGCATGGGCGGAAGAAGGCTTTCATATGAAGGGGTGGGGGCGCAACCTCAGGGCGGCAGGTGGACAACCCGTCGGCACATGCGCCGCAGGCTGCCAACCCCAGTTCCCTCCTCCATGGGGGCGAAACGGTCGCACCCGTCCCACCCCTGCTCAAGGCTGGCTTGACCCACCTTGAGGTCGGCCAGGAGGTGCTGCAGGGAGGCCCACTTGTTCCAGCCGCGCGGGACGATCTCCAGCATGTTTGGCAGGGCCTGCATGGTCTCCGCACCAGTCCCCGCTAGGGCGGCCTGAGGGGGGTTTGCAGTGGGTGCTGGACCGCAAGCGTGGGAGTGTGATCGCCAGTGACTCCCGCGAGGAAATGACCCCCCTCCCACAATCCACTCCCGGGCGACCAGCGCCGCCACACCCTGCGCACCTCCCAGTGCGGCTTCAGCTGGGTGTCGACGCGCTCGGGGTCTGCCATGAAGAGCAACTTTCGGACGCCTTGCTGGCCGGCGGCGGCCGCGGCCGTGGGCACCAGGAAGGGTAGTGGCTCGTGGTATCGCGTGTGCAGCTCCATCAGCTCCGGCGTGAGCCTGGTGGTCAGGCACTCGTCCCCAAGAAAGGCACACAGCGACCCTCCGTGTGCATCTGGGGGGTGTTGGATAAGTTTGGAAGGTGGGGGGGGTTAGGGGACTGCGTCTTGGTGGTCTTCCCTCTGACCCAGGGCGCGAATGTACAGTGCAAGGCTGCACTTCCCCGGCCCGCGCCATACCACACCCTGCCGCTGCACATGGCACATGCCAACAGCATTATTCCGCACATCGCATAAAGACACTCACCAGAGTACTCGAAGGCCGCCTGGACAACGGCGGGGTCCAGGGCGGCAGAAGCCAGCAGGAGCCCGCCCTGGCCGTACACCAGCAGGCCCTGCAGGAAGATGCCCGGCGCGGCGGCCGAGGCCAGCTCGGCGATGCCCGTGGCGCGCAGCGCGGCCTGCGCGGCCGGCCGCGCCTTCCCGGTGGCCAGCACGACGTGCACGCCGCGGGCCAGCGCCGCGCGGATGGCGTCGGCGGAGGAGGAAAGCACGGAGGAGGTGCCGTCCAGGAGCGTGCCGTCCATGTCCAGTGCGATCAGCCGGATGTCGCGGGGCCCAGGCGTCGCTGTCGCTCGGGGAGAGGGCGCCGCGAGGGAGGGGGACAGCCTGCCGGCGCCGAGTGCCCCGGGCGACGGCTCCTGGGCGCCGCCGGCGGGTCTGTCGGCCTCAGCCAGGCCGATGAGGCCGGGGCCGCGCCAGCCCAGCGCCGCCAGCACCTGCCGCTCCAGGTCCGCCATGGCGGCCGCCTCCACCGGGCCTGCGAGGGGATGGTGAAGCTTTTCATGGGGGGTGACACGTGCTCCTGCATGCTGCCACTCCAGCAGACCCCGGCAAGCCGGTCGCGGCCCTCGCTTACAACTGCCCATCCCCCTTCCCTCGGCCCCGGAACAGATGGTCATCAGCCGCCGGACCCACCCTCTTCGTGGTCGTGGCCGAGGAGGTGAAGGAGACCATGCACCAGAAGCACTCGCAGCTCTTGCTCCAGGGCGTGCCTCCTTTCCTCAGCCTGCCGCGCGGCTGTGTCCAGAGAGATCAGGATGTCCCCCAGGACCTGGACTGGCAGCTGTGGGCAAGGTTGGGTGGGGGGGTTGGTGATGGGCAGCGTGTGAGTGCCGGCGACGGGTGGCAGAATCATGTGGTGCTGGCACTGGGGCAGCTGCTGAGCACTCGGCGGGAGGGGTCGACAGAGCAATGCCTGGGGCAGGGACTTTATGACGAGGTATGTACAAGGCACTGACAATGCAGAGCCCAACAGTTTGAGCACCTCGTCCCCACTGCATCCCCTCACAGAGAACCCCAACCACGCCTTGCCTTTGGGCTGTCGTCCTCGCCCTCGTCGCTCCCCATCTCGAAAGAAAGCACGTCTGTCGGCGCATCCACGCCGCGGAACTCGGCGTTGACCTCGCGGATGACCTCATCGTCCACGAGGGTGAGGGAGAGCTCTACCGTACCTGGCGTCCGGATAGGGTGGAGCATGCGTTATCGGAGCAGGACGGCGTGGAGGGAGGAGGAAGCATCTCCCATTCTCTGTGCCAGGCGCACCCTGCAACGAAGGAGACGGCGCCAGCACGGCCATTGCCTGTATTGCCGCTGTGGCATCCGCTCTGAGCCCACCCAGCAGACCGTCCAGCTCCTCCTCTCTGCAAGCAGATGAATGGTAGATGCCCAAGCTTCGGAGCACCAACTCAGCAGACGCTCCAGAGCGGGGTGGGGAATTTGTGACATTCATGATCACACACATTAACCAGCATGGTTGTACCTTAAGTTGGGAAAGGTGCCGTCGATCGACGATGCAATGCTGACATCCAGTTTCGGTGTGACGGAAGGGCCATGCTCTGCAGCGACACCTCGGCTGGTGCCTACGCACGCCAGCTGCGATCTTGACCCATGCTTGCAAGGATGAGTATCATAGAGTCTATTCAATGCCGATTGTGGCCTACACAAAGCTGCAAGGCGGCTAGTAGAGGGCCAGCTTTGTAACTGAGTGAGCCTGTAGCCCCTCCTGGGCGAGCATAGGAGGCGTAGGAGCGGGGACGCCCGCAGGCCACGACCTGCAGCCTGCATGGTTCCAAACCACCAAAATTATAATGGTGCCCTCATAAATACCATCCATGCATATCGTTAAAAGGGCTCCTCGCATATTCGCCTAGTTGAACCGGGCGTGAGAACCCACGTGACACCAAGACCATCCATCAGGCCGGAAGGTCCCGCGCGTTAGGGACCCGAGACTCGTGCAGCGCGCAAGGAGCATAGAGTAAGCCATACACTATTTAAGAGTACCGGGGCGGCCGGCACGATCTCGCTGTCATGGAGGATTCGGAGGGTCCCCCTCCTCCCACTGAGGTTTCGGTGTTCATGGCGGAGGAGGCCTACGTCTATCGCATCCCACCAGCGACGACTGTCGGCCATCGGGCCGAGACGTGGAATGTGAATTCCTGGTTGCAAGAGGTCCGGGTGAGGGTTGTCAGCAGGGATGAAGACGCCTGGGTCCGGCTGGAAGAGCTCGAAACCGGTACGGAACAGTGTTGAGGAGGGGTTGATGAGCTTGAACGCACTGGCTCGCGTTGCGTGGGTTGATGAGAGCTCAGTATTCAATCCATGGAGATGAGGGCATCCTTGAATTGTTTCCCAACAGGTAACCTATTCGCTGAGTGCCCAGTGCCCATTCACGTGCCTCTCTCGACGGTGAGCTGTAGTATGAGGGATAGAGGGTCTCGATCTGTTCAACTCCTATTGTCTTCTGTGTTCCCGACATGTGCTTGGGTGTCTCGGGGTGTTGGGATTTCCACTCGCATTTGCCTAATCAGGGCATACAAGGAAGGAGGCTTGCCCTGCACACACCCCAGTGAGCAGCGACGCACTGCATCTCGCCTTTCATCACTTAGCCACCTCCTTCGCACGCACCCCTGCAGGCAGTGGAGCCCGTCATTGACAGTTCACGTTATTTTGTGCTCAAGATCGTCGACAGGGACTCTGGTCGACATGCGTTCATTGGGCTTGGGTTCAGGTGAGCAGCTATGCTCGGTGAACTTTACGCGTGTGAGCATTGGCTTGGAAGCCACTCCAAAGCATACTGACTTCAATTTATGACACCCTCCAATGTTGCTCTGCAGGGAGCGAGAGAAGGCTTCGGACTTCAACGCCACCCTGCATGAGCACATGCAGTATGTGAGGAGGAAACACACGGCTGCCGGTTTGCGGACTCAGTACGAGGAACAGCTGGCTGCCAATCTGGCCATGGCAGCTCCAGACTCCCTGCCTCAGGCAACGGATTTCAGCATCCCAGAAGGCCAGAACTTGGTCCTCAAAGTCCCAGCGGTGTGTGGTGTGGCAATAGTGAGGATGCGGAATGCTGGGCGGGGAGGGAGGGGAAGTGGAGGGCTCTATTGAATGATTCCGTGCGCAAGGGAGCTTATCGGATATACATATGTCGAACATTATTTACCATTTTGAGGAGTGCTTCCTGCATTGACATGAAGGAGATGCTCGAAGGGGTTTCCCAGAGAAGGGGGACTTTCAGTACATGCACAACACAGCATATCTCAGCTTGCATCCTGGCCCCATCCCCTCTGACAGGCACACCTGAATGGGGGATGCAGCACTCCCAAGAGCGGGTTCATTTCTTCCAACCGAGGTCGGCTGAGCAAGACCTTCTCCCTGCTCATGGATGGCGAGGGCAATGTGATTGCAGGCATGTCGCCACGGACCACAGTGGACGAAATGGGCCTCTCTCCCTCCTCCTCCACATCCTCTGCACTGCCTGATGGGGAGGGCAGCATTTTCCTGGGATTGCCCCGCCTCAGTGGGGCCGCTCCAGTGCACAGGGATGAGTGGGGGGACTTTGTAGCATGATGACCCCTTGGCGTCGTGCCACGGCGCCGAGGCCCTGCCCCATTCCCATAGGGTTGCGAGGGTGCTTGCCGCAGGGGCCTGTATGGCATGCAGGACTCGTTGCAGAGCGCGATTTTCCGTGCCAGTGCCCACTTTTCCAAGCCTAAACATGCATCCATGCCCCGCGCGCATGGGTGGTCTCCCTCCTGTACTCCCGCTCCTGCCGTTCTGCCTGTCCTGTCATACAACATCACACCGGTTGACTTTCTGTTTGGCGTGCCCCAAACCTCCTGGATCCGACTTCCCTAAGCTCTGCCTTGATGTCGTCAGCCTCGGATCTCCGAGCAAAGTCGTCATGGGTATTCTCAGCAGGGGCCCCAAGAAGGGCAAATAGCTCACGCCATGTGTCAGGAAGCGAGGGGATTGGGAAAGGCTCAGGAGCCCTGCCGGCACCAAATATCACGCAGGGCTGCAAAGCGTCGGGGAGCGGGTAGCCCGGTGCCCCTTCCCGTGTGCTCCAGGGTCTGCAGATCTTCGTCCGACTCCTCGTCCATGTTCAGGGACAGGGGCTCCACCAGCCCTGCGCGGCGAGAAGGGGGCAGCTGAGGTTTGAGTGCGTGGATTGCGAATACTGTTGACCCTTGCGTCGCTGAGTGGGGCTGGCCCTTGCTAAAAGCAAAGGAGAATCGCGGGCCTTGAGCCCTCGCCGGACCCACCTTGGTCGAGGAGCTCGGAGGCTGCTTGGGCTTCGTACCCGGCCGAGTCGGGTGCCAGGAGGACGTCTGGCTTCCCGCCGGATACCGCGCTGCGCGCCGTGCTGGGCGTGTCTGGCTCCTCCAAGCTCTCCAGCAGGCCTGGGGGCGGGATGTTTTGCCCCGGGTGAGCAGGGGTGGGATGGGATGCAGGGGCAATGATCCTCGCTGTACGCCCTGCAGCAGGCTTGGCAGGCCGGCCGCTGGACACCGGTCACCCCAGTCCCCAGTCCACCACCTGCTGGCAGGCGGTCCTCGGCGAGGTCGTCTGGGGTATAGCGTGAGAGCAGCGCCAGCAGCGTCTCCGAGGACAGGCCGGGCGCGAGCTCCGCCCTGGTCCCTGCATCCAGCAGCGCCTGGGGTTTGGGGGGGAGGGGTTGTGTTAGAGACCCAAAGCCGGGTTGGTGCGATGCAGGGCGTGTGGCAGGCCGGTAGGATCACTCACCAGGCCATTTGGGACCCTGGGGTGGGCCGCCGCACTCGGTACGGACATCACACTGACTATCAATGGCACCTCTCCATCCAGCTGCTCTTCTCCAGGCCCCCACCTCACTCTTCCAACACCCCTGCACCCCCCCCCCCCTCCACCACCCCACCTCCTTGGGCATCATGAGCAGATTGGCTGCGGCCCTCAGGCCCGGGAAGTGCTCGTCGCCGCGCCGCCCCAGCCCCGCCTCGCCCGCCCAGCCGGCCAGGGCGGAGGCCGTCAGCTTCAGCGCGACGCCCGTGCCGCAGGTGAGCGCCCCGCACCTGGGAGCGCGGTGGTTGGGGGTGGGAAAGGGCTGGGTGGGACGGACGGGGAGGGAGCGGTGCGTACCCACCCAGTGTCACCCTCGGGGCATGGGCCAAGGGGTCGGATCGAACCCCCCCCCCCCCCCCCCCCCACTGCATGGATGCCTGGCACCACCCACTCAATGCCCCAGGTACCAGGCGTCACGCCCAGCGCGCCAGACTCCCTCCACACACAGACCTGGGGAAGGGGAGCAGGGCGGGGTCCAGCCCTGCCTGCTGTTCCCGCGCCTCCATGCGCAGCGGGTCGGTGCGCCGCACGCCGCTCCGCTCTGCATGGGACCGCCGGGAGGTGTGAGGGGAGGGGCACGGTGATGCACCGGAAGGAGAGCCTCCTCTCGTTCGCTGATGCAGAGTCCTCTCGTCTGCGTTGCCACCCGGGCCCCGGCCCCATGCAGCTTCACCATTCTGCTCACCCTCGGTGGCCTGCAGGCTCTCCAGCAGGGCGGCATCCACCCGGCGCAGCAGGCCCAGCATGACCCTCCTTCCCAGCAGCGCCATCTGGCGCCGCGCCCGCTCGGGGCACGCCAGTCCGCAGAGCAGCTGCTGTGCAGCTTCCAGTCCGGCGCACCAGTGCTGGACGGCGGGTGCCTGACGGGCGATGGGATGGTGCAGAGGAGGTGCTGGGGAGCCTTGCACTCGGGAGCTGGGTTCCGATGCGCACCCTGCAGCAGCGGAGATACCCTCCCTTGATAGGAAGACACATGCGCATGAGCCAGAACTGTTATGAACTGGAAGCACAGCGCACCACGAGGGCGTCGACGAGGTCAAGGGAGTCACTGGAGGCGTGTCCCAGGGAGCTTGTCCGGCTCTCCTTGCCATTCGAGTGACCAGCCCACATCCTGAGGTCCCTGTCTGTCTCTCGATGAGCGCTCGACCTACTGCTCGCGGCTGCTGCGGGGGTCGAAGAGGGGGCATAAGACACACCCTGCTTTGGCATCATCACACCAAAGCTGTGCAACGCAGCAGCCACCCAAGGCGTCGCAGCACATTCCTCCACCCCGCATGTGCCATCCAAACCCTGCATGCGTGAGACCGGCTCACCGGGAAGGAGCGCCCCTGTCCAGGCCAGTTCAAGCAAGGCCCCGTACGCCGTCCTTTCCAGTCCTAGGAGTGCCAGCTGTGACACCGGCGAGGCGGCGTCGGCACCCTCTGCAGCATCTTGGGCTCTGTCGGAGTGTGCGGCCCACAGAAACCATCGGAGCTGCACCAGATTCGACCACCACATGGCGAGCCTGGGGGTCGCAGCCGGTGTGGTGGAAGGGTGAGGGAATGATGCATCTGATGGCCATCTTAGAGGCACAGCGTTGATTGAAAAACTTAGACCGTCTCAGCAGCTGCACGCACAAGGCCACCGCAGGTGCACATGGCCACCACAGGTGCACAGACCAAGCAAATGCCACCACGATTGCAGCCGCATGTTGATGAAGCCGTCCATGAACCCAGGTAGACCACCACAGAGACGGGTCCCCACTGTACGCACGAGCATCTGACATGGGACAGCACCTATACCTCGGAGCGTCCTGCCAGCTGCTTGCCAGCGCCGACTCCAGGGCGCCCCTCGCTTCCTCTGCGAATGCAAGGTCGAGGGGCGCGTGCAGCGCGCACAGCGTGCGCGCCAGGCGCCGAGCGGGCCTGTACCAGCGCGAGGTCGAGGTCTCTGGGAGGAATGTGCCGCTGCCTCCAATCCGGTACACGCCCGCCTGCGCCGGCGAATGATCTGATGTTGGAAAGAAGCTGAACGTGGCGATGTGGAGACACCACTGGAAGTGGATACTCCCCAGGCGGAAAGGAACCCAGTGTAAGCACGCCTGGAGGGTGATTGTGTGCGCGATGCACTATGATCCACCTTGCCAAGCAGCGTGCCACCTCCCTACCAGGCACAGCAGCCAGGCCAGGTGCCAGCCGTGCCACTCACCTCCAGGGCTGCGACACAGACCAGCTCGGCTCTGGACCCATCGGAGACCGGCCCCTTTGCATCACGCCCCGCCGTCGACGGCGCGGGTGCCGTGGGAAGACCGGCTGGACTTGCCTGGCCTGCAAGCGCGCCGCTGTGCTGCTCCCCTTCCTCCGTGAGATCCCGTTCCCCCTCCTCCTGCTCCGGGGTAGAGGACACGGCGGCCCCCGGCAGCGCAGCGGGGTCCTCCAGGGAGCCCTCTGGCCGCATGGCGCTCCGTGGAGAAGACGCCTCCGCTGCGCCCCGGTTCTGCCACGCCCAACGCCGCACGGGTGACGCCGTGGTCGCAAAGCGGCGTGGCCCCGCCCCCGCCTCGCCGCTGCCCTGCTCCGGCAGCGGCTGACTGGAGGCATTGGTGGCGAGGGGGCCGGAGAGGGAGATGGCCCCCACCAGCGAGGGGGTGCGCAGGGGCGGCCTGGCCTCCCGACCCCCCTCGCCCGAGGCGAAGGGGCTGGCGGGGAGTGCCAGCGAGCTGGCGGGGCTGAGCACCACGCGGTGCGGGGACGAGGGGGGGCTGCGCTCGGGGCTGGCCGCCGGGGAGGCCTGGGGGCCAGCGCGGAACCCCGGGATGCTGGGCGGTGCGGAGGAGGGGCTGGGCGCGAGGGCGACGGCGTTCGGCGCCCTCGTCGCGGCGGCCGCCGCTGCCCGGTTCCGTCCCAGCGCCGCGGCCGAGGCCCCTGTCGGCGATGTCGCAAAGGGCTCGGGGCTCGTCCCTACAGCGTGCACGAGCGTCGCCGCTGGCCCGCCGGCCCGGAAGCTGGCCGGCGGCTGCTCCTGGCCGGGCGCCGCCGCCACGCCGGTGGAAGGGGGGCCCGGGGAGGGCATGCCGGGGATGCCGCGGCGCGCCCGCACGGCGGGCCTGTCCGGCACGGCGGCCGCCGCGGCCGCCAGCGCCACGTCGGACGAGGCGGAGCTCGCAATGCTGGGGCTGCTGAGCGCGACCCTCGCCCCCGTGCCCGGGGAGATGCCGGCCAGGTTCAGTGCGGGCGGCCGCCAGGCGGGGGGCGGCGAACCCTGGCCGCCGGCGGAGGCCATGGGGCTCGAGTCGGACACGGGCGCGTCTGCCACGCTGCGCATGCTGAGCTCCCCGCTCAGCGTGCTGCCCATCAGGGACAGGTCCTCGCTGGCGCTGCCGTCCCGCAGCGTCGACTGCGTACCGGCCTGAGCCGCGATTCGCGGTGACCGGTCGGTGGGAGTCGCCGCGGCGCCGTGGCCCGCTCGCCTGAGGCGGGGTGAGGGGGTGAGCACGTTGTGACGAGGTGTCGCAGTGAGAGAGGAACCGTGGAAGCTTTTGGAGCGATACGTTCCAATACAAATTTCAGAACTCGAGCAGAATGTGGTCGGCACCGACTGCTCTTGCAGCGTGTCCATGGACCCCTCAGGCAGGGGTCTCCCGCGCCATGCCTCGACTCGACAGATCCAACAGAAAGACTCACTCCACTGTGAATGTGAGGGAGGGCACCCCACCGGCTGCCTGGCGAGAGGGCGCCCCCTGTACAGGCAGGGTGGTGGGAACCCTGGCCTCCGCGCCTGCCCATGCTGCCAGGTCCAGGGAGACATGGGGCCCCGCGCTGGGTTTGCCCTTGGCCTTGCCACCGCCCGGCGCGATGGACAGGGTCAGAGGCTTGGGCTGGTACGCGCCAGAGCTGGTGTCCTGCACGTGGGGGAGAAGGATGGCCATTCCGATCTCAAGTGTCCGGACAGCTGCACAAGGCCGGTTCTGAGACAGTTGTCACCTTGCTTGTGAATGTCATAACAACCCCTCCCAGAGAAGAGCACACCACTCCGAGACACACAAACCATGCACCTGGTACATTGTGACTGGCACTCTTATGGCTTGAGCGAAGGAGTAGGTTGCCACGCTGCTCCGCCCAGGCTGGGGTGTGGGTTCCACCGGCCGCGTCTTGCCCATGTTACCGCCGCGCTGCCAACGGATCTCCAGGGGACCAGATGTGGGCCAGGGACCGAGCTCCTGGATATTCACTATGAACTCGGCCTTTGAGGCCGACTGGCCCTTGTGCCTGGACAGGAAACCCATACCGGTGGCGGTCGGGTCGGAGTGATCTCAGGTCGACCGTCCGGGCCAAAGAGCCCTAAGGAGGGGGCAAATACATGTAGTGGTTCTAGACACTATCTGCATTTCGTCCGCAATCAGCCGTAGTGCAGGAAAATGATACTAGGACGTTTTTCCAGTCCGAGCTGTAGGCATGGAAAAGTGATCAAGGAGCACTGCAACGATTTCCTCGTCAAGCAAAGTTCCGACAACCAAATGCATGGAAACACGTCTCAAATGGCAAATGAGACATGCCATGGGCTTCTTGAACTGCAGGGATAGTCAGTAAGCAGCCAAAAAATTGCTCTGCAAAAGCACAGGTAGTGCATAAACGTATTGGCAGCAGAGTACAGAAACTTCATTTTGTAGAGGGAATACGAGGGACTATGTTTCACGATGCTGTGTGTTCAGCAGCTTCTCTTCGGATCTTGAAGCTGCAAGTCCTGATGTGCTTGGTGGATCTTCAATCTGCATACCCCCTCCACCCTCGGCATGAGCATGACCGGCACCTGCAAGCGGATGGAATCGCCGAGAGAGTTGACAATGGGCGATCAGCGCGCGGCGCTCCCATACCCGGAGCAATCAATATTTGACAACGCCATGGAGAGCTCACGATTGCAACAACTTGATTTGCATCGCCCACACTGCACCACCTTACCGTCGCCGGCATCTGCTTGCGGGTTCTCCATGTCGGCCGCGCTGATGGGAGGTGCTGATGAGGCTTGCACTCTTACTCCTCGCTTCGATGGCATGCTGCTACAGCATGGGAGTATCGCGGCCAATGGCGAGGTCCATCCCAGTGAACGGGGTGAGCATCGTGGAGACCTGGGTGTCCCACAGTGGCCCGCATTCGAATACCGGCATGGAGCCCCCTTGCAGTCCTGACACATACATCCCCGCCTCCCTGCGCCCTTCAGAATCCATGAGTAATACCATGCCAGTGGGGTAAGAGATGACAGGAAGGCAGCGTTCCGCCTCCATGCCACCCCAGCCCCAGCCCCAGGGCGTGCGTCGCCCTGCCCCCACCTCCAAGCCCCCATCCAGCCCCGCCGCCACAGACCGGCGCATTCTGGTCATCCAACGGGCCCTGTCGGCCTCCGTGGGTGCCCACAGAATGCAGAAGCTGGATCTCAGGCACCCACTGACCCTGGTGCGCGTCGTGGTCAGCGACGAGTTCGGCGTGGACCCACAGCTGGCGGCGCTGGGCCTCCTGGGCGCGCTGTTGGAGTCACAGGCCGGCCAGAAGCTGCTGACTCAGCACATGGGGGTGCTCTGGAATGACCTGGTTTGTGCCATGTGGAAGGGGCCCCCCACCAATGTCAGGGTCTCGACTGGGCTCCGCACCTTCCTGACCAGCCTTGCAGGGCTCCTCATGCCCGATCCTGGGCCAGTGGGCGGCAGCATGGGTGAGTGTGCATGGAAGGGGATGAGGCTGTGGAGGATGGGCGCATGGAGCACCAGACCATCCTGAGGCTTTGTGAGGGGAGGCTGTGCTGCAGACAACACTCGTACACCTCGACTTCACTCATCTGTCGCCCCGGGGACATGGAGACGGTTCAGAGACTGCCCAGCGGCAGGGTCCCGTCTTCCAATCGCCTCCTGAGGACGCACGCCGATCCCCATGCAGCCGATCTCCTGTACCAGTGGTTTGTGCCGGTCCTGACCAGAGGCTGGGCCAAGCGTGGGGAGGAGCTGACGCCGCTGCAGGTTCAGAGCAGCCTGCAAGTCCTCCTTGGAGGCATCACAGGCGAGTGGTGGGGGTCTTGCTCCCTGATGCTGCGGGGCTGCCCCACGCACCGGCTCCCGACCGGGCCCCCATGTCCCCAAACCCCCTCCCTGCAGCCCGCAGCGTGGTGCCAAAGAGGTATGCCTCCCCTTGCTTTGCCATGTGCATAGCCCTGCTCGAGAGGGACGACCTCGACATGAACTGGATGGCTGCAATCCTCGAAATCTTGTACCAGGTTTGTGGATCTCCTGGGGTTACAGTGTGCCTAGGTGCAGCTGCACGCCGGCCCGTGTGCAGTCCTTGGGCGGACCAAGAAACGACGCGCTGTACATGCATCGCCCCCCGTCCTGCTCCGCTTCGGCCGCCGTCCTATCGAGTTGATGGCTGGTCGACGGGCGAAGCACGCCGCCGAGCATGCAGGCTGCAGACGGGCGTGGCGTTTGTCGCATGTCTTGTGCGAAGATAGGCGGCATGTCGTGCCCCACCCCGTCCCCACGTCGCCCCTGCAGACCATGGAGCACCCCCCCGCCCTGCATGCTGACTTCCGGAACATGGTGGACCTGCTGCTGGGCTGGGGCCTGGACCCCTCCTTCCCGCCGGCGTGCAGGCAAGTGCAGGCCTGGAAGAGCCAGGGTCAGCCATTTTGCTGCGGGCTCAGTTGCTGCTTGCCTCTCTGCGGGGGACAGGCAAGGAGCTACCCCTGCTGGGGCGTTGAGTTGAGGCATCGCCCTTATCCCGGTGCCCTCAGGAGCACCGACAGGAGGCGGTGGCGTTGGGGGGGGGGGGGGCGTTTTCCCAATGTTCTGTGGCAAAGGAAACAGCAGGCCCCCACACAGTCGCACACTCCCAAACTTGCATGCCCACCAGCGCCCACCCCTCCACCCACCCAAAACACACACACACAGGCTCAGGCTGTTCTTTCTGCTGCGCCGCGCCCCCCGCTGCTGGCTGGCAGACCTGGCCTGGGCGCGGTCGCTGCTCGCCAGCCTGGCGCTCGACGCGCGCTGGCGGCCCGGCCCCGACGGCACGGGCCCCGCGCTGGTGGTGCTCTGCTGCATGCTGCCCATCTGGCACGGCCTGGCCGGCTCTCCGGATGCGCACATCGTGGACGAGGCGCGGGCCGGGGCGGCGGCCACTCTGGCGCGCCTGCGCCTCCGTGACCTGGCCGCCGACCCGGCCGTCGCCCTGGCCCAGCTGAACGACCTGGTCCTCATCCTGCGGGGGCTGGGCTCGCTGCTGGGGGGCCCCGGCGAGGAGGCCGGTGCGGCGCGGGGTCTGCACGAGATCGGCGACAAGGGAGTGGGGGTGGAGGCTGATGAGTGGCTTCCGTGCACCGACCGCATCCAGGCGACCCTGCGGTCGGACGGCTGGCAGGCCCGGTGCGGGGGCGACCGCCGGCCCCCAGACCTGGCGTGGTCGCTGGAACTGGCCCCAGCCCCCGGCCCCCTCGCGGAGCTCAGGGCCCAGGCCGCGGCCCTGCTCCTGCGGGCCCTGGCGCTCGCGGCGCCCCGGTCAGCCTCCGCCGCCGGGAGCGTGCTGGAGGACCTGGCAGCGCTCCTCACCCCCTGCGACGGCCACATCGACCACGGCGTGGCGCGGCAGGCGCGGTCCGCGAGCGGGCGGCTCCTGGGTCTAGCCGCGCACCCGGTCTGGGCCGTCCGGAGCATGGCCGCGTGGGTGTACGCGGCCTCGCAGGTCACCCCGTGCACGGAGGTGCAGGCCTGCGCCGAGGCGCTGCGCAGCGGCGGCGCGGCGGTGAGGGGGCCGAGCGGCGGGGCCGGCGCGGGCGAGCGGGACGCGAGGGAGGGCCGCAGGGTGCTGCTCACGCGCCTGTGGTGCCTCGAGGCGCAGTGTCGGGGCATCCCGGACGCCGCGTACGACCGGCCGGCCTTCCACGTGCTGGCCGACGCCGTGGTCGGGGCCGCAGCCGCGGACGCGGACGAGGCGGTGCTGGGCAAGGCGGTCGCGGCGCTGCGCGCGCTGGCCCGCTGCACGGGCGCCGCCGGGGCGCGGGTCGAGTGCGTGCAGGCCCGCCTGCTGGACGCCGCGCGGCGCGCCCCGCTGCACGGGCTGGTTGCGCCGCTGCTGGACTGGGTGGCGGGCGGCGAGGCGGCGTGCGCGGGGCCGGGCCTGGTGCTGGCCCTGGCCCGCGCTGCGGCCGCCAGCCTGGCCTGCGAGACGCGGGCGGCCGAGACGCTGGCCGCGCTGACCGCGCTGCGGCCGCGGCTGGCGGGGTGCTGCGGGCGGCTGGGCGTGCGCGGCGCGGCGCGCGTCTGGCGGGTCTGCAGCCTGGCGCTGAGCCATGCGACCTGCGCGCACGTGCGCGAGGCGGCGGGGCGCTGCCTCGCCGCTTCGGCGCTGCCCGTGGGCTGGCTGGCCGCCAGGCTCGCCGACCCAGGGCCCTGGGTGCTGAAGTCCGAGGGCGGGTGGATGGAGTCGGGGGCGGGGCGGAGGGGCGACGAGGAGGGCAGGGTTGAGGAGGAGCGGGGGAGAGCGGACGAGCAGGGGGCTGGCCTGGGCGAGGGTCCAGGGCCGGAGGAGGATGGTTCGGAGGCGGAGCACGAGGCGGAGGACGAATCGGGGGCGGACGACTGGGCCGCGATCCTGCTCCCCCGCCGCGCGGACCTGCCCGCGCTGGCCCCTCGCCCCGGTGCGGAGCTGATGCGCACGGTGCTGCTGCAGCCCGCGCTGCACGCGCCGCTCGTGCGTGGGCCCGTGGAAGGCCTGGAGACGACGCCACGGACCCTCAGCCCCGGCGACCCAGACACGCTGGTGGCGCCCTGGCTGCTGCGCGCGCTACGCTTGCACGCCGCGGCCTGCGCCGCGACAAGCGCCGCCGGCCCGCCCGCAGGCGCCGCGCACGCTGCCTCTCCGCCCACAGCCGTCGCGCCCGCCGGCACCCCGGCCGCCACCACCCAGGCTGGCGCCGCCCAGCCCCCCGACCCCACGCTCGCCGCCTCCCCGCCTGCCACCGCCCCGCCGGCAGCCGCCACGCGGGCGCCCCAGCCGCCGCTGGCCTGCGAGGCCGCGCTGCTGAGCCACGGCGTGGAGGCGCTGGCCCGCGCGTGCGTCGCGGCGCGGCTGCGCTCCAGCGCCGGGTCCGCCGCCGAGCTGTTTGGCTCGCTGGAGGCCGCGCTGGGGGCCTGCTCTCCGGGAGACGAGCCCGTCGGTGCACGAGGGTGCGGCCGCCCCGCCGCGGCGCGCGCCGTCCTCCTTCTCGACTTCCTCTTTGCGCTGGAGCGGGAGGCCCACGCGGCGGCGCGTGGGGACGAGCTCTACCCCGCCCCCGCCCGCGCGTTCTTCGCGTCCAACATCGGGGAGCTCCGCGGCCGGTTTGCGCGCCTGCGGGCCCCCGCCCTCGCCGCCGCCGAGGCCCTGCGCCTGGACGCGCACGTCGTCTACCACGCGCAGCAGGGCCTGGCGGACCTCGCGGGCCGCGCCCGGCGCGCGGCGCGCATCGAGCGCGAGGCGGCGGCCGAGGAGCGGGCGACGGCGGAGCGCAGGGCGGCCGCCGACGCCGACGCGGAGCGCGTGCGCGCGGCGGGCCGGTCGCCGGCCGGC